GGTCTCTTGGGGAGATTAAGCGTTGGAACTCGAACTCTCTTTTTGGTTGGAGAGAGCTGTGGCGTTTCCCTACTGCCCCGTCGCCATCTTCTCTTCTTCTTTTTTTAAAAAAATTAAAACATTTTTATTTGTAGGTACATGAACGAACTGAGGAAATGGATTTCCTGCTCTTGGTAGTCCGAAAACTTCTAAGAACAAATTCGCGTTTTGTCAAGGTAAATTTGATTTCATAAGTAACAAAAGTATTTAGAGTTAGTGTTTATTGTGTCTGTACTTTTTTTCTTCTCCTAAGATAAGAGCTTACTGAGAGGGCTGGGAAGGTGGCTCAGTGGTAGAGCGCTTGCCTTGCATGCCTGAGGCCCTGGGTTCGATTCCTCAGCACCACATAAGCAAAAAGAAAAAAGCCGGAAGTGGTGCTGTGGCTCAAGTGGTAGAGCGCTAGCCTTGAGCTGAAGAGCTGAGGGACAGCGCCCAGGCCCAGAGTTCAGGCCCCATGACCGGATCCCCCCCCGCCAAAAAAAAAAGAGCTCACTGAGACATTGCCAACTCACACTGTCCTCACACCTGTGCTCTGCTTGTCTCAGCCTCCCTAGTGCTGGGGTTATTGGGAGCTTTCCCACCTGGCTTGTTTCTCCCTGTTGTAACAGATAAGTCTCCTAATGTTTGTGTCAGCCATTGCTATTCCAGGTCTTACCAGTGACCAGGCCTGAGAGCATTCTCCAGTGGCCACTGTATAAAATACTTTCTGGTTGTTATGTTGCTTTGAATTCTAACTCTTTAGGTTGCTGAAAATGTTTTAATAATAGTTGACTATAATGACATACTGGCTCTTAAGACACTGCTTTTGGTTGAATAAGCACTGTGTTTAAAGCAGTGCATTCACTACAGGAATGCTCTGGCAATACTGGCTCTGAACTTTGAGGACAGGTCAAATTGAATGGAAATTGTGGGGAATGTTAAATACCAGAAAATGAAAAAAAAAACATCAAGTAAGTCAAAATTGAAAAGTGTTTAGAATAATTTACACAACCTAAACAATTTTAAGCATAGTTATTTTCAGTCTAGCTAAGCCAAGCAAAGGTCTTCAGGAAGCAATTTGGTAGCAATTTATTTGGGATATGCATATTATTACAATGTGGAATTAATAAAGGATTCTCAGGTGGTAGCTGAATGAATATAGCCTGACCTTTGCAGTGGTGGTTTTGCTACCCTAGGTGACTATAATACCTTTCTAGCTGAATGAGAGGATGGGCTTTTATTCCTATTTGGTAATCTTAATTTAAAGATGGCATTGAAGGCTTCAACAAATTGGGACCCCCCCTTTTATTTTTCCTTCAGTGCAGGTCCTGGAGCTTAAAAACTCAGGGCCTGAGCTTTTTTGTTCAAGGCTAGCACTCTACCACTTAAATCACAGCTCTACTTCCAGTTTCCCTCCCTCCCTCCCTCCTTTCCCTCTCTCCTTTTCCTTTTTCCTCTTCCTCCCTTCTTTCCCTCCCCTCCCCTCTTCTCTCTTCTTTTTTTGTTCCCGACCTGGGGCTTGAACTCAAGGCCTTAGGCTCTTGCTTGGATGTGTGCTAATATCTAGCACTGTACCACTTGAGCCACATGCCTCCAGTTCTGACCTTTGCTTGTCAGGTAGAGATGAGCTTATATGCCTGGGCTCTAGACCTCAGCTACCTGAGTAACTTCAGGTTATGGGTGTGAGCCACTGGTGCTCAGCTTATTTCCTTTTATATAAGAACACTGGTGTGGGGAGTTTTCGATGCAAGAATAATAACACTTGGCCTCAAGTCTCCCCTGCCTCTTCCCATGAAGGACCATAAAAGTCCCTGGAGTCCCTGCTCGGGCTCTCTATGTCCTCCCCTGCTGTCCTCCAGTCCACCAACCTGAATGAGTGGTGTGTTGCTACCTCTGTCTGCAAGGAGGCTAAGGCAGTGCTGAGTCTTATTTGCATGCCAGGCTCCATGAAAAGGCGGCCAGCTGGCCTGCTTTCCTTAGACAATGTTAGAATCCTGCGTTGTGACTGAGTGTTCCTGGAGGACCACTCTTGCACCCCAAATGGCTGCTAAGAACATTGCAATCTCAGACATTTCCTCCCAAAATGAGTTCTGCTTAGTATGGTTTATCATTGTGTCTAACATCAAAGGGAAAAAGGCACTGATGTGCCTAAATAAAGTCTTGACTTTCTACTAAGATTTACACTTAGGGACTTCTAATAGATGCCACAAGTCATCAGCTTCCAGGCAGGGAGTTGTGCAGTCAGACTTAGCTTGTGGAGACTGGGGAATGACATTCTCAGGATTGCTGCCACCTTCTCTGGGCATGTCTGATGTGTTGTGATGACTACTCCTGGCTTATGTAGTTGACTTGCCTAAAGATGTGGTTTTTTTTCTTTTTGCAAAACTGGAATTGCAGTCCTGATCCTCCCTTGTCTCGCTGCAGTCTGGGCTGGCTCCTCAGGCTGTTGCACGGCTATGATTTGGGGTCTTTTCCACTATTTTACTTACAGTGAAGATTGTCATATTCCCTGGTTTACTTCCTTATTTTTATTAAACACATTTAATAACCTATCTAAAAAATAATAATTTCTGCTGATCACCAGTGGCTCACGCCTGTAATCCTAGCTGCCCAAGAGTCTGAGATTTGAGGATTATGGTTCAAAGCCAGCCTGGGTAGGATAATCTGTGCGACTCTTACCTCCAGTAAACTACTCAAAAGCCCGAAGTGGAGCTGTGGCTCAAGTGTTAGAGTGATAGCCTTGAGCAAAAAAAGCTCAGGAACAGTACCTAGGTCCTGAGTTAAAGCCCCAGGACCAGCACACGTGTGCATGCTCTGTCTCTGTCTCTGTCTCTTTCTCTGTCTCTCTCTCTCTCTCTCTCTCACACACACAAATTCTGATGCACAGTTTCCTGTAAATAGTGGTGATAATTTAGGTTTATTAGTGATATGTGATTTCTTATTTAACATGAATAGTAAAAATTTATGTCTGAGTACTCCTTAAACTGCAGTAATTTGTATTAAGTCAGGATATTCTATCTAAAATCTGAGAAATTATTAAATACAGGATTGAAGCAGAAGACAAGCCTGGAGTTTGTCTATTATTCCACATTGTTTGCATATTTAGATGGCCTTTTTTTGTCTACAGGTTGTTCTCATGTCTGCTACCATCAACTGTAAGGAGTTTTCAGACTACTTTGCTGTTCCTGTTCAGAACAAGATGAACCCTGCTTATGTTTTTGAAGTGGAAGGCAAGCCCCATGCAATAGAAGAATATTATCTCAACGATTTGGACCACATTTATCACAGTGGGGTATGTTGGAATGCCTTGCTTCTTTTATAGTAATGGTCTTTTGGTATTTGATCACACTTGCATTCAGCCACTTAAGGTTGAAAGGACCTATTAGAACATAAAGTGAGGGAGAGAAGAGGGTTGGAGGAGAATAAAAGAAGGATATTTCTGAATTCGTTATGAACTTACCATGTAAATATATCCTTGTGGAACTTATTGGGACTGGTTTTATATCTTATTGCTGTTGAAAAGTAAGGTATTTGATTTTGGTTAGTAGAAAACTACAGATTCACTTGGGGATGGGAGATAATTTTATTTTGAATACCATTTTGATTACATTTTCTAATATTCCATCTCAGTTCAGTAAGAATAGCTGTCATCAAGTATGCAGACAATATACTATGTTGAAAACGAACTTTATAACTTGGGGAGGGCTGGGGAGATTGGGAGGGAAGGAATGGTAGGGGAAAACCAAGGGGTAAAAATACCCAATAGGGGGGCTGGGAAGGTGGCTCAGTGGTGGAGCGCTTGCCTCGCATGCCTGAGGCCCTGGGTTTGATTCCTCAGCACCAAGTAAGAAAAAAGAAAAAAGCCAGAAGTGGCACTGTGGCTCAAGTGGTAGAGCACTAGCCTTGAGCTGAAGAGCTGAGGGACAGCATCCAGGCCCAGAGTTCAGGCCCTATGACCGGACCCAAAAAAAAAAATAAAAGATACCCAATAGGAAATGTCCTCATTATAGTAGTCATGTAACCGTAACTGCTCTGTATAGCATCTTTACAATAAAAAAAAAAAAGAACAGACAACAACAGATGCTGACAGAGATGTTCGTGTGAGTGTAAACAGGTACAATCATTGTGGAAGGCAGTTTGAGTTATTGAGGATCCCTCAATAACTATAAAGCTACCCTGTGATCCAGCAATACCACACTTGAGCATTTATCCAAAAGATGGCAAGTTAGGAGGCTGTGAAGACACTTGCCCACTAGTTGCTATACTAGTTACCATAGCCAAGTTATGGAAACTGTCCAGATGCCTTTCAGTGGATGATTGGATCAAGAAAACACACACACATACACACATACACACACAAACACACGCACGGATGCACGCATGCACAGAGGAACCTAGTCCTCTCTGCTGTTCACTTACTTCTCTTTGCCTGATTACTATGTCAGCCTTTTTTTTGACTCTGGGTTTCTCTGCAGCTTTTGCCAACTTCTCTTTTTCTCTGCCTCTTACTGCAGTTGTTCTCACAGTGTGACTTTGCTATCCCACTCAACTCAGACAGCTTTGCTGGGGCCCTCAGGACCTCCTTGCTGAGCCAGAGGAGCTCAGCAGTGAGCTTACCTGCTGCTTCTGATATTTGACACTGCTGGTCAATTGGATTTTCTTAAGATCACCCTTCTCTGGGTCTCCTAGAACTCTCCTGCATTTTACCTTTCAGTGTCTTGAAGAATTCTTTTCATCCTTTGTTTTAACTTTCTTTGTATGAACATCCTTAGAAAAAGTACATAAGATGTAAATGTATACCTTAATGAAATTGTGACCCATAAGCCATGTCTAGAAGTAGAGCATCCCACATCCTACTTAGGCTCTCAGTGCGTTGTTTGGGGACCATGCATTTCCACGATGGAGCACAGATTTTACAGGTTTTATTACATTAGGGTTTTCTTGTTATTGTTTTTAGGTCTTTCATCAGCGTGACCTGGTATACAGCTTTCTTGGCTTTCTGGTTCTAACATGTCTGTTTTCTCACTTGCTTCTGTGTCCTTCCCTTGCCAGCTAGGGCAGGGCATCTCCTTGATAGCGAAGAAGCGAGGGTCCAGGACCCTACTTGAGGCAGAAACATGGTGACTTTTTCCTTACTCTGTAAATCGTGAGTGGCCTAGCACTTGAGTGGGAAGGTTAGCAGAGTTCCTGAGTGTGCTTTGGGAGTGCCTGCCCCTTTCACATCCTGTCCCTGATGCAGTGGCCTTGTACTGGGTTGTTATGTCTCCATTGAGAAAAACACGGGCAAGGGCTTTGGTGTTTCTTCCCTGGCCCAATACAGTAGGGGTCCACAGCCACATCTGTCCCTTGCAGACTTGTCTTGGAAGCACAGGGAGCTTTGAAATCTTGCCCTGCCACCCCAGTCACATGGATGCTGGAACTTGTCTGAGATTCTTGTGAATCATTGACATGTTTTCCACACCTTATTTGTAAATCCTCTTTTTTTTTTTTTGGTCCGGTCATGGGGCCTGAACTCTGGGCCTGGGCGCTGTCCCTCAGCTCTTCAGTTCAAGGCTAGCGCTCTACCACTTGAGCCACAGCACCACTTCCGGCTTTTTTCTTTTTGCTTATGTGTGTTGAGGAATGGAACCCAGGGCCTCAGGCATGCAAGGCAAGCACTCTACCACTGAGCCAACTTCCCAGCCCACCTTATTTGTAGAAAGTGTCTAGGTATCCAAGCCACTGTTGTTTGTGGGGACAAACCCATTATTCTATTTCTTTCTTGTACAGTTATAGTATGGTGAGTATTGGTAATTGGCTAAAGCAGAAAACTAAGGCACACATAGCATATAAAGATTAGATGCAGTAGACATGCTTCTTCAACATTGTTAATAAACAATTTGTCATAATTATATCACTAGAATTGTGATCATGAGAAGTAGATTATTTGGATACTAGCTGACTTAATTTATTCTGCGTAAAATTGGACAAAATAATTTCTTTTTTTTTTGTCAGTCATGGGGTTGAACTCTGGGCTTGGGTGCTGTCCCTGCGCTCTTCAGCTCAAGGCGAGCGCTCTGCTGCTTGAGCCATAGCGCCACTTCCGGTTTTCTAGTCGTTTATTGGATAAGAGTCTCACAGACTCTCCTGCCTGGGCTGGCTTTGAACCGTGACCCTCAGATCTCAGCCTCCTGAGTAGCTAGGATTACAGGTGTGAGCCACTGGTGCCAGACTTGGACAAAATAATTTCTATGTATAATTAACTTCTGATCACTGAAAGACTTGTTTTAGTATGTTCTTCACAATAGTTGATTCATTTTTTTTTTTTTTTTTAGTTGGTTGTGGGGCTGGAACTCTGGGCTTGGGCGCTATCCCTCAGCTCTTCAGCTCAAGGCGAGCGCTCTACCACTTGAGCCACAGCGCCACTTCCGGCTTTTTTTTTCTTTTTGCTTATGTGGTGCTAAGGAATTGAACCCAGGGCCTCATGCATGCAAGGCAAGTGCTCTTCCACTGAGCCACCTTCCCAGCCCATCATTTTTTTTTTTTGAGACAGTGTCCACTCTGTAGCTTAGTCTGGCCTTAAGCTAATGAACCTCCTTCTTTAGCTTCCTGAGTGCGAGGAATATAAGCATGTACTACCATGTTTAGTTTCATAATATTATTAATAAAATTAAAAAAAAACAAAAAAAGTACAGAAAGGCTATAGTATAGACTATGGGGCTTGTGCTATAACCATTGTGAGGAGCATTGCATGAACAGGTACCTGTGGCTCCCCACTCCTGGAAAGCAGGCAGACAGTTAAGTGTGGTTGGTGTCCTGCATTCTGTAGAGGTGCTAGAGGAGCATTTTAAAGTCATCCGGTCCTGGTGTGGCTGTTTGAATGCACAGTTAGACCTGGTCCAGAAATCTGTACAGCTGCCTTACCATGAGGTTATGTTCTTACTTTTTTTTTTTTTTTCCGGGTCCGGTCGTGGGGCCTGAACTCTGGGCCTGGGCGCTGTCCCTCAGCTCTTCAGCTCAAGGCGAGCGCTCTACCACTTGAGCCACAGTGCCACTTCTGGCTTTTTTTTTTTCTTGTACAGGTCCTAGACCTTGAACTCAGGCATGGGCACTATCCCTGAGCTTTTTCTTTTCTTTTTTTTTTTTGTTGGTCGTGGGGCTTGAACTCTGGGTCTGGGCACTGTCCCTCAGCTCTTCAGCTCAAGGCGAGTCCTTGAGCTACAGCGCCACTTCCGGTTTTCTGGTGGTTTATTGGAGATAGGAGTCTCACAGTCTCTCCTGCCCGGGCTGGCTTTGAACCGCGATCCTCAGATCTCAGCCTCCTGAGTAGCTAGGATGACAGGCGTGAGCCACCGGCGCCCGGCTCCCTGAGCTTTTTCATTCGAGGCTGGTAAGAGTACCACTTGAACTACAGCTCCACTTCCAGCCTTTTTTTTTTTTTTCCTGGTTGTGGGGCCTGAATGCTGGGCCTGGGCACTGTCCCTCACCTCTTCAGCTCAAGGTGAGTGCTCTACCGCTTGAACCACAGCACCACTTCCTGTTTTCTACTGGTTTATTAGAGATAAGAGTCTCATGGACTTCCCTTCCCGGGCTGGCTTTGAACCCTGATCCTCAGATCTCAGCCTCCTGAGTAGCTAGGATTACCGGCACCCAGGAGCTTTTTCTTTTTATGTGGTGTACTGAGGAATCAAACCCAGGTGCATGCTAGGCAAGCACTCTGCCATGGAGCCACATTCCCAGCCCTGATATGTTTTTAAGGCACACTAGCAAACAAGACACAGTTGTGTCTTGGTACTTCCTGAATGGGGTGATGGTGGAATCTTGGGGATTTAGGAGGCAGGAATTTGACAGAGCAGGAGAGGTTGGCTTTGATTTTAGCAGCAGCTCCTGGGTTTGTTGTAACTTACCCTGTTCCTTCAGAGTAGAGTGCACACCAGCCCTGTCATGCTGTGCTTGGTCCCCCACCCCAGCCCTGCTCTTGGGGCTGGGTAGTGTGATGGGTGGCCTGAGCAGTGGCTGCAAGTGATGCATTATTTTTACTTAGGACATTAAAGCAGTGGGGTACCCATCCAACCCAGCCTTTCCTCTGTATCCTATTTTGGTATCCTGAGTTTTTCTTTTGCTGTCTTCAGCTCTCTCCACATCGCCTGGAGGAACCACTGATAACGAAGGATATCTATGAAGTTGCTGTCTCCCTAATTCAGATGTTTGATGACTTGGACATGAAAGAGAGTGGGTAAGAGTGGCCTTTCAGTGTATATCAGTTGAAACACTTGTCACTCATTAGAAGCTTGTTAGTGTTGTATTTTTTTGTTTTTGTTTTTTTTTTTTTTTGGTTGTGGAGCTTGAACTCTGAGCCTGGGTGCTGTCCCTTGAGCTCTTCAGCTCAAGGCTACCACATCACTTCCAGTTTTCTGGTGGTTCATTGGAGATAAGTGTCTCATGGATTTTCCTGCCCAGGCTGGTTTTGAACTGAGATCCTGAGATCTCAGCCTCCTGAGTAGCTAGGATTACAGGCGTGAGCCACCATTGCCCGGCTTGTTGTTTTTATAGATTAAGATACAGCTATGGCACTTATTCAGCAGACGCTATAGATCGTATTTTGGATGTGTTTTATTGGAAAGTTGTACTTAAAGTAGTCAAAGCCTCACTGAGGTTTTGGGACTGGTGGTTTTAGAAGCTGGATCAGCAGCCTGAAGGAAAGCTGGCTTTCCCAGACATAGGAGGTCGCATGGCATGTGCTGTCAGTGTGTGTGCCTGACACTTGGCTGGGCTTTCATCCTCCTTTCTTCTGGAAGTGGGGACACACTGTACTTGGCTATGAAGCTTCTCTGCCCTAATACTACTACAGTTCCTAAGTAGCATTGATGTTTTAGGATAACAATGTGAATGGAGATTCTATTATCTTACTGCCAACCAGAACTTGATAGCTGGATGGCTTAGATACACACCGGTAAATTAATCTTTAGTTGTAAAATTTAGACTTACTTTCTTAGATTATTTTCATTCTTCCTAAATTATTCCCTTTAAAGAATCTCTTGGTAAGCCAGTACTGGTGGCTCACACCTATAATCTTAGCTACTCAGGAGGCTGAGATCTGAGGATTGTAGTTCAAAGCCAGCCTGGGCAGGAAAGTCCATGAGACTCTTATTGCCAATAAACCACTCAGAAAAAACAGAAGTGGTGCTGTGGTTCAAGAGTGCATGCCTTGAGCTGAAGAATTGAGGGGCAGTGCCCAGGCCCAGAGTTCAAGCCTCACAACTGACCAAAAAAGAAAAGAATCTGTTGGTAAATGTTTTATTTTTATTTAGCTAACGTTTTTTACTTTACTCCCAGTTCTTCTTTATTTAAATTTAAAAAACCAACCTAATAGGTTGTATTTACTGTATGTAGGATGCAGCATGATGCTTTGACATCTGTAGACGTTTTGGATTTACTCAATCTACCTAATTAACATAACTCATTCACTTTCTCTGTCTCTCTGTGTCTAGTTGTGTCTGTTTCTGCCTCTTTTTTGTCTCTATGTTTCTGTTTCTCTCTGCCAGTACAGAGGTTTTGAACTCATGGCCTTGAGCTTGCTTGGCTGGTGCTCTACTTATTGACCCATGCTTGAAGCTGGCTTTTTTTTTTTAAATAAGTTGGTTATTTTTCAGATGGAGTCTCAGATTTTTCTTCCATCTGACCTTGAACCAACTGAGATCCTTCAGATCTCAGCTTCCTCAGTAGCTACGACTACAGATGCGGGCCACTGGTGCCTGGTCTCATTCTTGAAATACAGTTCCATCAATTTGGTACAGATTTAGGGACCCTTATCCAAAATGCTTGAAACCAGAAGTGTTTCAAATTTTAGAGTTTCTCCAATTTTGGAATGTTTGCATAGACTTCACTGGCCAAGCACACACACGAAGATGCAGAGAGCTCCCATGGCCACCCTCCACATATACCATTTTACCATTGCCCATGTTCTGTACCACAGGTCTGCATTTGTGGAATGGACACATCAGCATCACCCAGAATCTTTGGTCACTCTTGGGAGTTGTGATGAATGCATCATGCGTTGTGTCCTCATTAACCCAGTACCTCTGCTGCTGCAGCTTCACTGCCTGAGAACCTTGTTGTGCACCCACCTATGCTCCTCTCTTCCTCCCCCACCCCATCCCTCACTGATCCTGTGCCTTGTCTATGGTGCTGTCTTCTCCTAGAATAATGTTGTTGTTATTAGGGTTTCTTCTGTCTTTCCATGGCTTGATAAACCTATTTTTAAAAATATTGCTGAATAATTCTGTTGTCTGCATGTATGACAGGTTACCCATTTGCCTATTAAAAGACATTTTGGTTACTTCTAAGTTTTATAGTATAAATAGAGCTGCTATTAATGTCCAGTAGTAGGCTTTATGTGGAAAAATGTTTTCAGTACTTTTTTTTTTTTGTCTTTTCTTTTTTGGTACTGGGGATCGAACCCAGGACGTTGCGCTTGCTAAGCAAGCGCTTTGCCACTGAGCTACATCCCAGCCCTGTTTTCAGTACTTTTAAGTAAATTCAAGGATGATTTCCAGGTCATACGGCAAGGTTGTATGCCCAGTGGTGATGAGTGAGACTTGCTGTAGCTCCATGTCCTTGCTAGGAGCTGGTGGTGCCAATGTCCTAGAGTTTGTGCGTAGTGGAGTCTTACTGTTGTTTTTACTTTGTGTTTCCCTTCATACTGCGATGTTTAACTTCCTTCATGTGCTTATTTGGCCATTTGTGTCTGAGGTTTCCAAATCTTTTGCTCATTTTAAATGAGATTATTTTTCTCTTAGTATTGAGTTTAAATATGTGTATGTGCTTATGCGTATGTTAGCAGAATTCAGTTCCTCACACTTGTTAGGCTAGTGCTTTACCACTAGAACCATGCCTTTAGTCCATTGTTAGTATTTTTTTTTAATACACTGACACTCTTGTTTAAGAATAAATATTTACTTGTATTTTAAAAAATATGATGAAACTCTTGGTCAAGAATAACTACTGTTTTATTGACAGCACACAATCATTTGTTATAGGTCTGTTTAGACTGTTTCTTCTAGGGTTAGTTCCAGTAGTTGGTGGAATGATTCGTTCAAGCTATCTAATTGGTTTGTTTTTTTTGTTTTTGTTTTTTTGGGGGTCTGGTCATGGGGCCTGAACTCTGGGCCTGGGCGCTGTCCCTCAGTTCTTCAGCTCAAGGCTAGCGCTCTACCACTTGAGCCACAGTACCACTTTCGGCTTTTTTTTTCTGCTTATGTGGTGCTGAGGAATTGAACCCAGGGCCTCATGCATGCAAGGCAAGCACTCTGCCACTGAGCCATCTTCCCAGCCCCCTATCTAATTTGTTAAAATACAGTTGTTCATAATATATTCCTTTCTAATGTAATCTTTTCCTGTGGGGTCAGTAGTAATATTCCCTCTTTCCTTTCTGATTCTAGTAATTTGAGTCCTTTCCTTTTTTGTTAAGTCTCAGTCAGGCTGCCTAAATGTTTGTCAATTATGTATTATCTTTTTAAAGAACTAAATTTTGGTTTCACTGATTTTTTTGTTTTTCCTATTTCACTGAAGTCTTCAATTGTTTTTTCTGTTTAGGTTTAGTTTGCTATTCTTTTTTGTGTGCCTTAAAGTAGAAGGTTTGGTTTTTGATATAGGCATTTATAGTTATACATTTTTTTCCCCTTAAGTTCTGCTTTTTGGTCTCACAAAGTATGTCTTTTTTTTTTTTCATTTTCCTTTTGATTTTTTTTCAAGGCTTTATTTTTATTTTATTTTTATTTTTTTGGTTGGTCATGGGCTTGAACTCTGGGCCTGGGTGCTGTCCCTCAGCTCTTCAGTTCAAGGTAAGCGCTTGCTCAGTGCCACTTCCAGGAACATGTTATTAAATTACAATTTTTCCTAAAATTTCCCTGTTACCGATTTTGAATATCATCTGTTATGATGGAAGAACACATTTTATATTCTACCTCTTAAATTTATTGAGGTCTGTTTTACATATTTTAGGGAATGTTTCATGGGTACTTGAGAAGAAAGTGTATTTTACTGCTGTTCTACAGATGTCCCTTAGGTGTAGTTAATTGGCTTAAGGTGTTTTTCAAGTCTTCTGTTTCCTGATCATCTGCCTCATTGTTTTATATTATCCATAGAGAATATAGATAGAATGTAGATACTATAGAATAGTATATCTATACTGCATTATAGATAATTAAAGGTAAGGTATTCATTAAGATTGGATTGCCTACTTTCTCTCATGGTTTATGTCAGTTTATGCTTCAGATATTTTGGTGCTGTTATAAATTGTTCTGTTTATCTCAAGTAACATTTGTGATTTTTAGATAGGTTTTGTATATCAGTATAGCTGTTCTACTTTGTTGTGGTTCCTGTTTGCAAGACAGATCTTCTCCTATCTCCTCGCTTTCAGTTTGTGTCTTTGAATGTAAATTATGCCTCCTTTAGACAACATATTCTGAGTGGGGATTATATTTAAATTATTCTAACAATTTCTGCCTTCTAATTATATTGCTTAGCCTATTATTGTGGTGTGGTTGAATTATACTAGACATTTGATTTTTGTTTCCTGTGCCTTTTTTATTCCTCATTTCCTTTTCATTGCTTTATTTTGTATTCCAAATAAATATTTATAGGATTTTAATTCTATAACTGATTTTTACTTTATTTTTTAGGCATTGCTAGGGTTTACCAACTTCCCTCTTAACTAGCCAGGTCAGTTCCAGTTTTGTTTTTTTTTTGGTTGGTCGTGGGTCTTGAACTCTGGGCCTAGATGCTGTCCCTTAGCTCTTCAGCTCAAGACTAATGCTCTACCACTAGAGCCACAGTGCCACTTCTGGTTTTCTAGTGGTTTATTGGAGGAGATAAGAGTCTCAAGGACTTTCCTGCCTGGGCTGGCTTTAAACCGCGATCCTCAGATCTCAGCCTCCTGAGTAGCTAGGATTGCAGGCGTGAGCCACTAGTGCCCGGCTGCAGTTGCTTTTTAAATTGCCTAAAGTAGACCTCCACATATAGTGCCGAAATCCTGCTTGTTGTGGTGCTACATTGCAGCAGGTGTTCATCCTTGGCTGTTCCCAGAATCCCATATATGCCTGCACACCAGCCGGGCCTGTGTTGTCTGTCTCAGTGGCCAAGCACCAGGAGCTGTATTTGTGGAGTGCTGAGTCACCTCTCACACCCGGCTCTCCTTTGCAGTCCCCCTTCCTCGATCATAGCCTGGATACTGCTTCATGGCTGTCTCCTCAGCTCCTCTGTGGTCTCCTGTAACAGGCCTTCCATACCCTCCTTTCTGAAAAGGCACTCTGCACAGTGCCTTAGGCTTTATCCCGTGACCCTCTGTTCCTCTCATGATCTTAACTGAGAAATGGAAGGGCCCTTTTTGCTTATTTACAGTCTCTCTGGCTAGGGGCAAGCTGTAGTATGTGTGTTGGGGTGGGTCTTGCCCAGTGCCTTTTTAGACACTGCAAACACCAACAAATGTGACTTTGAGGGAGGGAGGGACACACACACACACACACTCCACACATACACACATTCACTCACTCCTATGTGTCTGGACTACTTAGAGAGGCCCCGGCATGTAGGGCTCACACTGCTTATCTCCAGTAAGTAGTAGTGCTGTAGCCTTGAGTGAAAAAGCTAAGAGACAGTGACAGTGCCCACGCCATGAATTCAAACCCGATACCAGTGTGTGTATCTTCGAGCATGTGTGTGCGTGTGCATGTGTACACACACACACACCAAACAAAAAACAACAACCAAAATGTCCCAATAGTAGTGGAGAGGCAAGTAGTTGATTTGAAATCTTAGCCTGTCAAAATGTTTTCAATAATAATTTAGACTCTGTTAATTCTTTTTTTTTTTTGGTCCGGTTGTGGGGCCTGAACTCTGAGCCTGGGCGCTGTCCCTCAGCTCTTCAGCTCAAGGCTAGCGCTCTACCACTTGAGCCATAGCACCACTTCCGGCTTTTTTCTTTTTGCTTACGTGGTGCTGAGGAATTGAACCCAGGGCCTCATGCATTGCAAGGCAAGTGCTCTGCTGCTGAGCCACCTTCCCAGCTCTCTGTTAATTCTTATAGTTAAGTATTTTGTACCTTGGGGTTATGGATTTTAATAATTAAGTTCCCAGGAAAACTTAAATGCATAGTGTATCCTACAGGTGAGTGTAATGAGCCACCCTGAATACAGGTGAGTATAATGAACTATCCTGAATACATGTGAGTGTAATGAACCACCCTGAACACAAGAGAGTGTAATGAACCACCCTGAACACAAGAGAGTGTAATGAAGCACCTTGAATGCCAGGGGTCTCCATTGTAATATGTGAAATAAAGAATATCACTTGGTATGATCTGCAAGAGCTCTCAGAATCAAAGCTAGTAATATCAGGATTGTCACAAAGCAGGGCCTGTTTCAGCCTTGATTCATATTTGTGTACCTCTTATTGTGACAGAAACAAGACCTGGTCGGGAGCCCAGTTTGTGTCGGAGCGGAGCAGCGTATTGGTGTTTTTGCCAGGTATGAAATTAAAATTACAAAACTGGACAGCACATCTTTAGAAAAAAATGTTGTCCATATTGTGTGTTGTTTTCAGACACTACAAACACCAACAGATGTGACTTTGAGGGAGGGACACACACACACAAAAGAAGAAGAAGACATGTTTACTTTGGCTCACGGTTGGAGGTTTCAGTATATGGACAGTTAGTGCTTTTGGGCCCGTGGTAAGGAAGAATATCATGGCAGGAGAGTGTGGTGTAACAAAGCTGTTCAACTTAGGGTAGTCATGGTGCTGGAGACTAGGATTCTAGTCCAAGATGCAGTTGGTGGTGCCGTGGGTATCTGCACACCCTACTCTATCCCCCCATGGAAGGGATACAGAGCTCCCTCAGGCTTCCTCTGTGAGGGACTGATCCCACTCAGGGCAAAGCCTTGGGACTTGTCTCTACCCAGATGGTGGTAGGGGTTGGGTCATTCCTTTGCTGGGTAAATAGTGGAGAGGTGGAGGAGGGCGAAGGGCAATAGAGCAGCATGCCTATTGAAAGGGGAAGTAAAGACTGTAGGGAGGAATCTTGGAGTTGAGACCCTGCATTGGCTGACAGTTGGGTAGAGTTGTATTTGCTTCCACACATACTTAATGACTACTGGGTACACATATCATACTAAGGAAAAAGTTATCATGAAGCCAGGTATTAATGTAGAAATGACTGTAAGTTAACTTGATATTAGCTTAGAAATTAATTGAGGTAAAATACTTTTAAACCACTAAACATGGTCTGAACAAATATTTAAAATAATATGTTTAGGTTTGTTATCTTTCTGTTATATACTTAAGTAAGTTTAAGGTTTTGTGTGTGTGCCTGTCGTGGGGCTTGAACTCAGGGTCTGGGCGCTGTTCCTGAGCTTTTGTGCTCAAGGCTTGTGCTCTACTACTTGAGCCACAGTTCCACTTCTACCTTTTGGTGGTTAATTGGAGATAAGAGTCTCAAACTAAGTCAGGTGCCAGTGGCTCACACATATAATCCTAGCTACTCTGGAGGCTGAGATCTGAGGATCACAGTTCAAAGATAGCCTGGGCAGGAAAGCATATGAGACTTATCTCCAATTAACCACCGGAAAACAGGAAGTGGCTTTGTGGCTTAAGTGGTAGAGTGCTCACCTTGAGCTGAAGAGCACAGGGACAGCGAACAGGCCTAGAGTTCAAGCTCCATGGCTGGGGGGAAAAAAAAAGAGTCTCAAACTTTCCTGCCTATGCTGGCTTCAAACCAGTATCCTTAGATCTCAGCAACCTGAGGGCATAGGTGTGTGCCCCTAGCACCCAGCTAGGTTCAAGTTTGGTACATGTTTTTTCTTTTCTTTTTTTTTTTTTTGTCGGTCATGGGGCTTGAACTCTGGGCTTGGGTGCTGTACCTGAGCTCTTCAGCTCAAGGTGAGCACTCTACCGCGTGAGCCACAGCGCTACTTCCGATTTTCTAGTGGTTTATTGGACGAGATAAGAGTCTCATGGGCTTTCCTGCTTGGACTGGCTTTGAACTGTGATCCTCAGATCTCAGCCTTCTGAGTAGCTAGGATTATAGGCGTGAGCCATCGGCAGCTGGCTGGTACATATTTTCATTGAGGTGTTCTGAGTAGTTCTGTATTTCTCTAGGGCTGCTATAACAAAATACCATAACTTGGATATCTTTTTTTTTTACATCAGAAGTTCATTTTATTGAATTATCATATATAAGCTAATAACCTCATTGTCTCAATTGACTTATGAGTTATTTAAAAATTTTATTTGAAATTTTTTACTGTTATAAAGGTGATTATTCAGACAAAGAACCTTGGATGTCTTAAAACTGATTTATTTTCTCCATTTTCTGGGGCCTTTGATGTTCGAAATCAAAGTGTTAGAAAACTGCTCCTTTTGAGGTTCTAGGCTGACTTCCTCCTGGCCGGCCTCTTGCTAGCTTCTGCTTATGGTCATCAGTCGTTGGAGTTCTTAGCTTGTGGTTGTGTCACTGTTCTCTGCTCCTGTCCCGTGGCATTCTCTGGGTGTTGGTCTCTTTCCTTCTTCACATGAGGAAATCAGTCCTTTTGGATTAAGAGGTTACCTCATGCTGCTATGCCCTCGTAGCTGATTTAATCTGCAGTGACTCCCTTTGCCAGGGAGGTCACATTCTGAGTTTGTGAGTCTGAGAGCTCAGGGTATCTTTTGGGGGGGCACAATTTGAATCCATAACAGTCCTCTAAGTGCTGAAAATTCAGGATGAGCAAAAGCACATGTAGGTGTTTGGCTGTCTTTGAACCTAATGAAAGATTTAGCATGTATTTATGACCAAGTGAAAAAAAAAACAACAACCAAACCATTATTGCATTGCCGCTGGTTGAACCCAGGGTTTTGAGTGCTCTGCTACTGAACTACACCACAGTCCAAAAAATTCTTTTGTTTAGCTTTTTTTTTTTTTTTTTGAGAGTGAGTCTCCACATAACCCACGCAAGCCTCAAACTCAATCCTTCTGCCTCTGGCATTACAGCTGTGTATCACCAAGTCTGGCTTTAAAAAAAGTGTTGTTTTTCTTTTTTTTTTTTTTGCTGGATGCCAGTGGGCTCATGCCTGTAACCTAGCTACTGAGGATGCTGAGATCTGAGGATCATGGTTTGAAGCTGGTCTGGGCAGGAAAGTTTGCAATACTTTTATCTCCAATAAACTACTCAGAAAACGCTGAAAATGGCTGTAACTTAAGTGATGGAGCACTAGCTTTGAGCAAAAGAAGCTCAGAGACAGGGCCCAAATCATGAGTTTAAGCCCCCAGGCCAGAGAAAAAAAATTTTATCAGAAAAATTTTGCATACTTATTAGGAAATTTGGAAATTTTGTAGCTTTTTTTTTTTTCCAGGGCTGACGACCGAACCCAGGGCCTTGCGCGTGCCGGGTGGGCGCCCTTCTGCTGGGCTAAAACCCCAGCCCCGAAATTTGGAAATTTTGAAGGGAGAAATGTAAAATTAGTCATATAGTTAATACCTACTTGTACTTCACTGCTTCACCAAGAAAAACATTGGAAGGATATAGATTTTAATATTTTTGAGTTATTGCAAGTTAATGTTGTTATCATTTCTAGTTGTAGTTCTGACTCAGATGAAGAGGAGAAAGAAGTCAAATATAATGGATTGGTAGGGCTTTGTTCAAAAAATAACATTTTAATTTAAAGATTAATTTTTAGTAGTACATACAAATTTGTTTTTCTTCTCTTTATTCCCCCCTAGGTCTGGGTGAAATAAACTATATGCATGAGCTTCTCACCAACATGATTCACAAAAGGTATGCTTGAAGAGGCGGCCTTCCTTTTACTTCCAGAGCCGTGTGTTGTTTATGCCTTACAAAGTTTTAATTATCTCAGTGAACAGTTAACTTGTTTTTGTATCTCATGTGATGTTTTATTTTAGAAACTTGTTTCTTAGGTTGCAGGTCTATCCACTCCATTCCAGTGTGACTTTAGAAGAACAGAACAATGTATTTTTAAGTCCAGTCCCTGGGTACAGAAAGGTAGGAAGGCTGGGAAGCCAAGTTCAAGCAGCTGAGGTCGTTTTCCTCAGAGGCTCTACTTAGGAAAGATGCTGGTGCTTTGGCCTCTTTCTCTGTCTATCTGTAGCTAGTGGTGAGTCACCCAAACAAATACTTGAGGAGCCAGCTATGCCACTTTTTCTTGTGATTTATTTGGTAAATCACTTTGCTACAAAGAAGATTTTTGTTGTTAGTTTTTGAGGTAGGGTTTCCCTCTGTAGCCTAGGCTGGCCTTGAACATGAAATATACTTGCTCCATTGTCCCAAGTGCTAGAGCAAGTGTGTTTTTGTTTTGTTTTTGGGTCCGGTCATAGGGCCTGAACTCTGGGCCTGGGCGCTGTCCCTCAGCTCTTCAGCTCAAGGCTAGCGCTCTACCACTTGAGCCACAGCACCACTTCCAGCCTTTTCTGCTTATGTGGTGCTGAGGAATCGAATCCGGGGTCTCAGGCATGCAAGGCAAGTGCTCTACTACTGAGCCATCTTCCCAGCCCCTAGAGCAAGTGTGTGTCATGGTGTCTGGGAAAACAGGTTTTTTAACATTTCCCTAGTCCAGAGCATTGTTGCTAGTGGGTTTTGGCTCCTTCCTTCCTTCCTTCCTTCCTGCCTTCCTTCCTTCCTTCCTTCCTCTTTCTTTCCCTCCCACCCTGCCTCCCTTCCTCCCCTCCCCTCCCTGCCTGCCTTCCTTCCCTCCTTCCCTCCTTCCTTCCTTCCTTCCTTCCTCTTTCTTTCCCTCCCACCCTGCCTCCCTTCCTCCCCTCCCCTCCCTGCCTGCCTTCCTTCCCTCCTTCCCTCCTTCCTTCCTTCCTTCCTTCCTTCCCTCCTTCCTTCCTTCCTTCCTTCCCTCCTTCCCTCCTTCCTTCCTTTCTTCCTGGTTCTGAACCTGGTTCCTGGCTTGAACTCAGGGCCTAGGTGCTGTCTCTAAGCTTGTTTTGCTCAAGGAGAGTGCTCTACCACTTGAGCCACAGGTCACTTCAGGCTTTTTCTAGTAGTTTATTGGAGATAAGAGTCTCATGGACTTTCCTGCCCTGCTGGCTTCTAACCAGGCTCCTCATATCTCAGCTCCCTGAGTAACTAGGATTAGAGGCATGAGCCACTGGCACCTGGCTAAGTTTGGCCCCTTTAAATTATTCTTTTGTGTGTCTCAGACTTAGGGATTCCATGATGTTTCTGACACTCACTCCTCTGGTAACTTTGTCAGAAAAGCCATTTCTAAGGCTTGTTGAAGGTTTTAGGTTTGTGTGGGTGTCAGAATTGTCATCACTGTGACCCTGCATTGCTGCCTGAGGTGTTCAGGGACCAGTGGAAGCTTGTAGTACAACTTCCCTGATGCTTGTGAGGATGTTTGGAATCTTGGGGCAGCCTAGACCTTGAATGGTATTCCCAGGTGCTGGTATTCCAGCCCTTAATTGGATTTTTTTTGCCCCGTGGTTCCACCATTCTGTGGGCAGAACCCCCATGAACAGGTTCAGGAGCAGCTTTGTCCCTTTCCCATTGCTTTTTTTTTTTGAGGTGGGGGGAGTTACTGTGGTATTTTTGTTTGTTTGTGTGTTAACCCAGTCTAGCCTAGAACCATGACTCTGATTCTCATTGTTTTAGCCTCCCGTGTAGCTGAATTGCTAGGCATGTGCCATCACTGGAGGAGGGTCGAGGAGGGATCTTACAAATGTGCCCAGGCTGGTCTCAAAACAAGAGTCTCCTAACCTTAGCCTTCCGAGTAGCTAGGGTTATGTGTGAGCTCTGAGTGCTCTCGCTGCAGCTTTAAAGCATTTTCTATGTTGTGTGTGACTGGTTTTCCATGTACCAGGGGCTTCTTGATCAATTATGACTAGAATAAAATAGGAAAGGTGGCTGATTTCAAAATGTGAGTTCAGTGTTGAATGTTTTTAAAGAACTGTATAATGGTGTCCACAATGGAAGGAGACGATGAACTTCTTTTCTTTGATGTTCACAGATTATTCTGTCTACCAACATTGCAGAGAGTTCCGTCACGGTTCCTGACGTCAAGTATGGTAGGGCCTCTGTCTGCTCGCCTCCCCACCCTGGCACCATAGGCTCCTTTGTGCCTGCACCCTGCCATCTTCCCTCCTTCCCTCCTTCCCTGTCTGGAGTAGACACTTGAGAGAAGGAGGCTCACAGGGCACCACAAACTCCTGGTTTGCGGCCGCGTCCTGTAGGGTTATTCTCGCGTGTTGAGGTGTTGCCTTTATGGGAAACAGTGCTTTGGGGCACTGGGGAGAAGCTCAGGTAATGTCTGTTTGTGAACGCGGCTTAGAAGGAAGCCATGCACCTTCTGGCCTGGTAACTGTGAGCTTGTTCACTTACCAGTTTCCTGTGCCCCTTGTATCTGACAGCCTGACCTATGTGACTAGGAGTAGCACCATGGTAAACAAGGCAGACTCCTTGTCCTCAAGCAACCACACTCAAATAGTGTCCAGAAGGGATAAGTGTTAGACAGGAAAACAAACCAGGGAAGAGTCAGCTTTATTTTTGGGGAGGGAGGGACGGGGAGGAAAATCACATAACCTAAAGGTCATTCTGAGGACCCTTTGGTGTAGATTGAAATGGAGCAAAGAGGAAAGAGAATTGGAGGTGGGTTCTGCTGCCCTGTAGAACAAGAGAGCAGCACAGGGGCAGAAGTACAATTTCTAGAGGGATTCTGAAGGCAAGGCCAGGGAGGCTTTGTTGAAGGACCCAAGGGATTGTGGGATGTGTGGTCTGGGAAGCCAGGGAAGCGACATCCTTTGTGCGGATGAGCAGGAGCAGCGGGGTGGGATGCTGAGGGGAACTGCTGGGAAACCAGGGCAAGGAGGGCTGGCGTGTGCGAGGCTAGGAGCTGGCTAATGCGCAGATCTGGGCAGTCCCCCTCCTGCCTCCCCATCCCCAAAGCCAGCTGAACATGGAGTTCTGCAGACAGATCGAGTAGACTGAGGAAGGAAGACTGCACCTGGCCATGGAAGTGGCCATCTGGCCATCCTCTGTGACGTAGACAAGGGTGGTTTTGGTGAAAGTAAAAGCCTGCTTGCAGTGAGCTTGGGAAAGAGGTGTCTTAGGAACTAATGGAGCCAGGTGCCAGTGGCTCACACCTGTAATCCTAGCTACTCAGGAGGCTGAGATTTGAGGATCATGGTTCAAAGCCAGCCCGGGCAGGAAAGTATGTGAGATTCTTTTTTTTTTTTTTTTCTGTTTTTTTCAGTCTTGGGGCTTGAACTCTGGGCCTGAATGCTGTCCCTCAGCTCTTCAGCTCAAGGCAAGCACTCTACCATTTGAGCCACAGTGCCACTTCCGGTTTTCTGGTAGCTAATTGGAGAAAGTCTCACAGACTTTCCTGCCCAGGCTGGCTTTGAACCTCAATTCTCAGATCTCAACCTCCTGAGTAGTTAGGATTACAGGTGTGAGCCACCCTGCCTGGCTTGTGAGATTCTTATCTCCAATTAGTCACAGAAAAAGCTGGAAGTGGAACTGTGGCTCCAGTGGTAGAGTGCTAGTCTTTAGCAAAAGGGACAGCCCAGGCCCTGAGTTCAAGCTCTAGGATGGGGGGGTGGAGTAGAGGGAGGGAGAGGGGGGTAAGAGGGAAAGAGGAAGAAGAGAGAGAGGAGAAAGGAGAGTCAGATAGCTCTCTTGGGACATCTAGCTGTGAAGGGTATTAGAAAAATGGGCAGTGGCTGAAGGGGAGGTGAGACCATGGGAACATGTTTATACTGGAGAGTAATAATATTCAGTGCGAGGTGGAGGGAAACACGGTAGAGGGTGTGCTGGGTATGGATGCTGATCCCAGTTCCCAGGGAGAGGGCTGTGTCCCTGACAGGGTAGGCCGGCATGGAGGGAGCAGTGGCCTTGGAGCTTGAGGCGGCCATGGTGGTTGAGAGACCTGAGGATGTGTGGGAGGCCTGAGCAGAGGACATGGAATAGACCTCTAAAGGTGGCCAAGTGGGATCATGCAGGCTGAGATCATGCAGGCTGCTGGGGTAGGTGGAGAACTGCCTCTCACCAGAACTATGCTGGCATCAGCATTAGGGCCTGCTACATGCCGTGTGCTATGTGACCTTGTGCTTTCGTGGTCAGGAGGGAGCTTAAGGGTGGGGTGCGGATGAGGGACAGCTAATAGGGACAGCTTTAGGCCCCAGCATGGAGCTAGGATGGAGGGCATGCTCTTGGGCTGGTGGGGTGGGAGGCATGGTGGGAGGCCAGGGACTCAGGGTCAGAGAGGGTATAGACGCGTGATACTAAGATCACCAAAAGTTGCGTTGTGAGAGGAAGGAAGGCAGTTGTGGGGAAGGAGGGTGTTGTGTGGTGCAGTGTGAAGGGGCAGACTCGGCCTGGGAGGCGGGAGAGAAGACAGCAACCATCAACTCCCTAGAGGATGAGACAGGACACCTGTCAGCAGGGCTTCTGGGGCTCTGTCCCCTGTGATTCACAGATCAGGACCCTAGAACGGAGAAACGAGATAACTTGTTTCACCCACTCACAGGCAGACACAAACAGGAGTTAAATCTTCACAGCGCAGGGCATTAGCCATGCTTCTCTACTATTGTAACAACATTCTCTTGGGTGAATGCAGGTAGGCTTATCTTGTAACGCCTTGGGTCTTACAGGTTATATATTCTGTAGGTTCAGTGACCCTAGTCCTTACCAAGGGGGCCTCCCCCTGTCTTGGGTGGTAGTGAGTGGTCAGCACATTTCCTGAGTTTTCTCAGAACTTGTTCATTCCAAAGGCCACATGTTCATGTTGTTTTATCACCCTGTTATGATTTCTTATAGAATGAATCCTGTGTTGACAAGGTGTTTATGTTCCATTTTTCCAAATGACAGTTATAGACTTTTGTCTGACTAGAACTCTGGTCTGCGATGAAGATACGAACTACCAGAGTCTGCGGTTGAGCTGGGCCTCCAAGACCAGTTGTGACCAGAGAAAAGGTGAGACAGTGGTGACAGAGACATGTGTGGGTGTTTTCTGGTCATCTCCCTCTTACTGCCACCGCCTTGTTGGGATCAGTCTGAAGTTTAAATATCAGCATCACATGTGGTCCAGAGTCCTACCTCCATAGCTCTCCTCTTCCCAGTGTTTTAGGTGACATATGTGCATAAGGGAAACAGGTCTCCACATTATCATTTTCACTGTAAAATAAAGGCTATTTTCAGTCATCTTTCTTGTGTGGTTTTCCTGGGAGTCATATGAGAACTGTGACAACAGCTCCAAAACAGGCCCACATAGATTCAGTTTGATGAGTGAGGTGTTTTTATTTTGTTTTTGTTTTTGTTTCTGGTTGGTCATGGCCTGAACTCTGGGCCTGGGCGCTGTCCCTCCGCTCTTCAGTTCAAGGCTAGCACTCTACCACTTGAGCCATAACGCCACTTCTGTTTTTTTCTGCCTATGTGGTACTGAGGAATCGAACCCAGGGCCTCATGCATGCAAGGCAAGCACTTTACCACTGAGCCACCTTCCCAGCCCCTGATGAGTGAGTTTATTTAATTATTTTTCATTCTTTATGCTTTTGCAAAATGATAGGGGTTACACACAGAATGCTAGGTGACTATGGAGGACAATAGTATCTGGAATCATGGAAGACACCCTAGTTCTCACCATCCCAACCAGCAAACTGCTGTTTTAGATGGCTCTAAGTCTATAGCAGAAACTATATGTTTAAAGCACCACCTAGTGTCAGCATCAGAAACAATAACAGGTTCAAGTAGAAGCCAGACTGGGAAAGTTGGATGTTTATGCCACTCCAGCCTTGCTTTGCCGGGATCTTGTCAGGATTCTGCTGGTTTCGGCCTACTGGGTCAAACTGGGAAGAGTGGCTGCCGCATGGCACATAGAAGAGCCAGGCTGAATGGTGGCTGACTCCAAGATGGCGTTGTTCTGGCTGGGACCTAGAGGACTGAAGCCAAGTAGATCACGCCACTAATGTTGACAAGCTTCCCCCAGCACCGTAAAGGAGCCAGCCCAGGACTCCAAGCCTGCCACATCATCTTGCATGGGGCAGAGGAGAAGGGACGGGGCTGCTCAGGAGGTGGGCGCGTGAGCAGCCAGAGAGTACCGAAGGTTCTGTTTGTTTTTCCTCAACTAATACGTTTTTGAGCTCAGGAACTTGCAATCGCCCTATTTCCTGATTAATATTAGATGGCTTGCCTGTCATTTCTCTTTATGCTTATCTTAAGATCATTTATGGAGGGGGTGAAAATGATCAAAGTACATTCTATGAATATATGGAAATCACACAATAAACTCCCTGTACAATTAATAAAGTATCATCCAGTGGCTCATGCCTGTAATCCTAGCTACTCAGGAGACTTAAATTTGAGGATCTTGGGTTTAAAGGCAGGCCAGGCAGGAAAATCCATGAATCTCTTATTTGCAGTTAACTACCAACGAGCTGGAAGTAGAGCTGTGGTTCAAGTGGTAGAGCAAGCAAAAGAGCAAAAAAAGCTCAGGGGCAGCCCTCAGGCCCTGAGTTCAGATCCCATACCAGCACACATATATGCAAAAGCATCTCTCAGAGAACTTCAGTGATTCATGCCAAGTAGTACTGAGTACCCATCTCTTTGCAGGCCGGGCCGGACGAGTATCTAAAGGGTATTGTTACAGACTGATACACAGGGATTTCTGGGACAGCTCCATCCCAGACCGTGTTGTTCCTGAGATGTTGGTAATACACATGGGTTATTGTCAAAGTTGTTGTTTTTTTTTTTACAGTTTACGGAACAATCTAGTATAATTTTTATTTTATTTTATTTTTTGCTCCTTTAAAAATGTAATTGTTGGGCTGGGAAGGTGGCTCAGTGGTAGAGCGCTTGCCTTGCATGCATGAGGCCCTGGGTTCGATTCCTCAGTACCATATAAGCAGAAAAAGCCAGAAGTGGCACTGACTCAAGTGGTAAAGCACTAGCCTTGAGCTGAAGAGCTGAGGGACAGTGCCCAGGCCCAGACTTTAGGTCCCACAACTGACAAAAAAAAATGTAATTGTTATTATTAAGGTGCTGTAAGAGGGGTTACCATGTCATAATTCCGGTAGTGAGTACATTTCTTTTTGGACAATGTTACTCCTCCTTTTGCTTTCCCCCAATTTCCCCCTCCCATCCCTGCCTACAAGTTACATAGGTCATTTTCCATGTAGTGTCTACTTAAGTAATATACTTTTGAGTGTTGTATAATTTTAATCCTAGAAAAATCACTGGCTGTTTGTCTTTAATTACAGTGCCAGCTTACTAAGCATCAGACATCTACCAGGGCCTGTGTTCTTAATGAGAAGTGTTGCCTAGTTCTGCTGCCTTGTCTTTAAGTGCTGCCAGTTCCCATTTCCTTTTTTAATGAGTAATTGTGGATTAGCGTTTTTCTATCTCTTCTTTTTTCTTCCCTATTTTATCCTCTTATTTCTCTTGGCTTTTTCCTTTCTGTCCCTTTTCCCCTTGTCTCCTTGTGTTAGTGTCTTTTCCCTTTCATTCTTCTCTCCTTCTTGATCTTTTCTTTTTCTCCCCTCTCGTTTGCTTTTCTCTCTTAGCACCACCATTCATGTGAATAGCTTACGATTGAATTCTCTGATGATCTCTGACTTACATTTTGTTCTGTTCAGCGTTGTCCGTTAGGAAGCACAATACTGAAAGTGAAGCTGCTGGACATGGGTGAGCCGAGAGCCCTGCTGGCCACGGCTCTTTCTCCACCAAGTCTGAGTGACATCGAGCGCACCATCCTCCTGCTGAAGGAGGTGGGCTGTCTGGAAAAGCTAAGACCCTTACTTTGTAGGGAAACATTCAAGATCTGTAAGGTGTTTGGCATGGAAAAGCTGGTGTGGTGACTGGCATGTGATTCCAGGTGCTTTTGAGACCAGCTTTGTTGGTTGCTCCTTCATGCCTCCCCTGTCCCAGGTCCCTTGCTCTATGTTGTCATGGTGACACATCTGTAGAGCTCTGTCCTTGTCAGTCAGCTCCCCTGCTCTGCTCCTCCACCATATCCTGGCCCTCCACCCATGGAGGAGAGGCAGGTGCCCACCTGGGCCTGGGTACCAGCCCTGTCCTAGCCCACGCGTTGTTGGGCTCTAGGTATTCCCATGACTCTCAGCCAATGTGGTTTTGTTCTTAGATTGCTACCTGCCTGGATTTCTGTCGAAAGTCAGCTTCAGAAGCTTTTTCCATACATAGGAGAGAATGTGCGTGTGTATGTATGTATGCATGCATGTACTGAGGCTTGAACCTAGGACCTCACAGCTGCACTCTGTCACTTGCGTCACACCCCCAATTCTGGCTTTTTGCTGGATAATCAGAGATGAGTCTGATGGGTTTTTCTGCTAGGTCCTTTTTTTCTGCCATTATCCTAATATCTTGGCCTCCTGAGTACCTAGGCTTATAGGCATGAGTGGCTGGCACCCTGGCAGCATACTCTTACACACAGGGAAATTGTATAAGTTTAAGAGTAAATTGGTGACAGCCTCTGCTAAGTTGATGTCAGTGTCTTTTGAAACCTTACCTACCAAAGTCTGGTCTTTGTGTCCTGTGTTTTTCACTTTCCTTTTAAGGGTCAAAAGGGATGGGGTGAGTACTGATGGCTTGCTAAGGGCGCTGATGTGTTTTATAAAGGTAGGAGCCCTGGCGATTAGTGGGCAGAGAGAAGATGAAAACCCCCATGACGGCGAGCTGACCTTCCTAGGACGCGTGCTAGCCCAGCTCCCTGTCAACCAGCAGCTGGGCAAACTCATCGTGCTGGGACATGTGTTTGGGTGCCTGGACGAGTGTCTCATTATAGGTAAGCCACAGGCCGGGCACGGCCTGGGGAAGTGGGCTTGGGGCCCACTCTGACAGATGGTTGTGTTTTGTGTTGTCAGCGGCAGCGCTCTCCCTGAAGAATTTTTTTGCGATGCCTTTTCGACAGCATCTCGATGGCTATAGGTATTGACTGTTCATATTGTAAGGGGACGCCTCGTCTGATGGGGTGGGGTGATGTTCTGTCGTCTGCCTGCAGGAACAAGGTGAACTTCTCTGGCAGCAGTAAGAGCGACTGCCTTGCCCTTGTGGAGGCCTTTAAAGTGAGTCTCTCCATACAGAGGGGGGCAGAGTTTTCCTCTCACACAGTGTGATCTGGTCTCCCATATCTAGCGTGAAGTAACAAACTACTGGGAAAAGACCAGGGTGGGGCAGGAGGTCAGTTCCATAAAATTGATCAAAACATTACATTGGTGGATTTTCTGAGATCATAGTGTGTTGAAATTGGAATGTAAAGAGACTCAGCCACTGCGCTACTCTGAGACTGTGGATCATTGACTTGTAGGCATGGCAGGCTTGCAGACAGCGAGGAGAGCTGCGCCATCCCAAGGTTGGTTGAGTTTCTTTGTGTCCTCATGAATGGTCGTGAGTGAGGCCTGTGTGGACACTGTGTTTATGAATATTGGCAGTGCTAAGGCCGAGCTGAAGCCGCTGTCGTAGACAACGTGGTGAGCGGCCAGGTCCTCTTGCAGAGTGCTTGGTAAGAAGCCATTGTTTAGCCTGCAGAGCAGGGGTGCTGCTTGTTCCCAGCTCTGTGTTGCACCCAGGTGTCCACCTGGACGTGTTTAGAAGTCAGAGTCTGTAGCCTTTGCTGCTTTCAGCTAAATTTAGATAATCGGCTTAGAAGAAACGTAACTGGCAGCCTTCATTTTGCTTTTCTGGATCTGCTTTTTCTTCTAAATTGATTAGGACCTTCAGTCTGTGTGTGGCTTCCCTGTGCTTAGGAGGGCTTGGAGGGATTATTCAAGTTACTCAATTCATGTCTGCAGTTACGTTTCGGGTAGATGAAGTACTATAAAGAAATGTCCGTGTGTGTGTGTGTGTGTGTGTGTGTGTGTGTGTGTGTGTGTGTGTCTTGGGGCATGTTCTCAGGGCCTTTTTTTATGGTTAAAATACTGTACAGAGGGGTTACAAATACATGAGCAAGGTAATGAGTATATTATCAAGCATTCTTGCCGCCTCCTTTGTTTTTCCCCTACTATCCCTTCCCTCCCATCTCCAATTACACTCCCCACCCCTTCCTGAGCTCTTTTTGTTCAAAGCTAGCACTCTACCACTTGAACAATAGTGTTACTTCCAGGGGTTTTTTGGTGATTGATTGTGGATAAGAGTCTCATGGACTTTCCTTCCTCGAACCTCAGCTCTCATCCTTCTGAGCAGATAGGGTGGCAGATTTTGCCTTCTGACTTCAGTGTGAAATGAGAAGTAGCTGAATAGGATTTGCTGTGATGAGTCAGGTTGCACTGCCTAGGTTTTGGATGAGACTTACGGAGCATAGTAGCCAAATTAACCTCATTATTCTGACCTGTATTCTTTTTTATGTATTAAAAGGATGAACTTGACTGGGGACGGTTAAATTACATCCAAATCAAGAGAATTAGAGAGGTAAGCTACATATTTTTTGACCAAGTGGATGCAGATTAAACTGACTTCTCAAATGTTTATTTAGCACAGCATGCTGTGAGTGGGCCTCAAACTGATCCTTCTGATTTTAGCCTCCTGAATGGCTCAGATTACAGGTGGGACCCATGGCACCTGACTTCAGGAATTTTGCAAGTGGATTCCCGAGTATAACCAGCCTTGGGCTGGTGTCTGTGTGCATCTGTGTGTGTGTGCGTGTGTGTGTGTGTGCGCGCGCGCGTGCGTGTGTGCGTGCACGCTTGCACGTGCAAGCACATATGCACAGTAGTATCAGATGCTGTCTTCAGGTTTAGAACACCCAAAGCAGCATTCTTATGCTTGAACTCTGGGCCTGAGCGCTGTCCCTCGCTCTTCAGCTCAAGGCTAGCACTCTACCACTTAAGCTACAGCGCCACTTCCAGTTTTCTGGTGGTTTATTGGAAATAAGAGTCTCACAGATTTTCCTGCCCGGGCTGGCTTTGAACTGTGATCCTCAGATCTCAGCCTCCTGAGTAGCTAGGATTACAGGTGTGAGCCACTGGTGCCCGACTTGGACAAAATAATTTCTATGTATAATTAACTTCTGACCACTGAAAGACTTGTTTTAGTATGTTCTTCACAAAATACCATGTGTTATATGCAATGGTTGATTCATTTTTTTTTTTTTTAGTTGGTTGTGGGGCTGGAACTCTGGGCTTGGGCGCTATCCCTCAGCTCTTCAGCTCAAGGCGAGCGCTATATTGCTTGAGCCACAGTGCCACTTCCTGTTTTCTGGTGGTTTATTGGAGATCAGAGTCTCAAGTGGACTTTCCTGCCTGGGCTGGCTTTGAACCGTGATCCTCAGATCTCAGCCTCCTGAGTAGCTAGGATTATAGGCATGAGCCACTGGTACCCAGCTGACCATCATTTTTTTTTATTGTTGTTTTCCTGCTTTGACTTGCAGTTGTTTGGAAATTGTTGATAATTTCAGATATTTTATTGTTAATTTCTGGTTTTATTGCATTTTAGTCAGAGAAAGAAAGTGACTAACACAATTCTTAATTGATTTTGTTAGATAAATGTGATTGTAGACTTCCATTAAGAGATTTCAGTTATAATAAAAGCACACAGGCTGACATGGGAATGTGTTTCCTCTTCTTGCCCAGAGCCCTAGGTTTTTCTTCCCTCTGCAGAAATAATGACTGTGAAGCTTCTTTGTCCTTCCAGTTCTGTGTGTGTGTGTGTGTGTGTGTGTGTTCTGTGTGGCATATTCACACTAGGGAATTAATTCAGGGTTTGGGGCTTGCAAAATACACTTCACTGAACTTACCTCAGCCCCTTTCTATTCACGTTTTCAACTTGCTAGTGTGTGTGTTTTACTTTTGGTAATTAATGTATTGAAATAATTTTATAAATTTAATTTTAAGGTAAATTCACAGGTATTTCTGTATACTATGTTTGACATTTGGTGTGAAGCAAATTTTTATTACAACTGTTTTGTCCAGAGGGACTGTTTAGCCAGGGGTCATCTGGCTTGTTTCCACTCTATTCACAGAAGCAGAGTGTGCTCCTGTGGAGCTGGGGGGGGGGGGGGGACTTGGGGGTGTGGCCTTGCTGCCTGTGCACCATACTCACACCTCAGTGCTGGTGCAGCTGGCCATCTGCTCAAAACCTGGGGGCACGCGACAGTTTCCTGTGCTCCATGCCAGTGTCGTTTGTACTGAGTGGCTCACTCCTTCTGAGTCTGAGTCTCTCTTCAATGCCCCTGTGCTAGGTCTTGAACTCAAGACCTCCAGCTCTTGCTTGGCTTTTTCACTCAAGTCTGGTGCTCTGCCACTTGAGCCACACCTTTACTTCCATTTTTTTTTTTGCTGGTTAATTGGATCTAAGAGTCCCATGCACTTTTCTGCCTGGTCTGGCTTTGAACCATAATCTTCAGATTGCAGCCTTCTCTGAGTATCTAGGATTATAGGCATGCGCCACTAATGCCTGGCTCTTTCTTAGTCTTCAGTGATGTTCATCTTGGGCGTGTTCTCCCCCACATGTGTGGTGGTGCTTTCCCTGTGGTGTACCTTCTTTCTCACATTTTTGTTATACCTTTTGTGTTGACCTTTTGTGTTTTTCTTAGGTGGCTGAATTGTATGAAGAATTGAAAAACAGGATCTCTCAGTTCAACATGTATGTGGATCCCCGGCGGCCTGCTCTGGACCAGGAGTATCCGTACAAGCAGCGCTTCATCCTGCAGGTATGTGGGGCCCGCGTGCCTTTCCTGAGCTCTGTCTCACCGGGCTGTGAGTGAGAGAGGTGTCTCTCATGCTGTGGAACACGAACTATGCCTCAACACTTTGAGGGCCACAGTGCTGCTATTGTGTTGGGAACCAGGAATGATTTTATCTTTCCTTGTTTATACCTTCCTGCTGTTGATTTGATGACTGGGCTGCTGCTGCTCCAGGTGCGTGTCTGTAGGGCAGCCTGCAGGCCCCGCGGCTTCAGGTCAGGCCTTCTGCTGCACTGTTGAGAACACAGCGCCCGTGCTCTTGTTCTTTTACACTGAGCTGGCTTGCCACGCTTGGAAGCTTCTGCTCAGGCTTTCAGATCCAGCTTGGTTGATGCATACAGAAGTGGGCCCAAAGTGGAAACACTCAACTGGATTGTGGCAGTACATGCTGGTAGTGTTTTTTTGGATGTACGGTGGTTGTATGTCTAGGAGAGTTTTCTGTGGGTGTCTGTTTCATACAGGAGGTATTTTGATTGAAGAAAGATTTTGAGCTGGGTGCAGGGTTCACTCCTGCCATCCCAGCTACTCAGGAGGCAGAGATCAGAAGAGTTGTGGGTTATGGCCAGCCTTGGCAAAACATTGGTAAGACCCCATCTTAAACAGTAAGCTGGGCATGGTGGTATGTGTGCCTGTCACCCCAGTTATGTGCAAATAAGATTGTGGTCCAGGCTGGTTAGGGCAAAAACGTGAGATTCTATTTGAATAGGAAGAGGAAAAAGCTCTGGGGGCATTGCTTGTGTGATAAGAACACATAACAAGTGTGCAAAGACCTGAGGTCAAACCTCAGTACTGCTGAAAATAAAGGGAGGACTTTGAAGGCTGTCTGTGCAAGTGTAAATTGGATGCCAGTCTGCTGCCCTAGGTCGGGCATTGGGAGTCTAGAGTTAGAGTCGCTGGGCATACCTGGGGGAGGGAGTCAGTGTCTGGGGGAGAGGAAGAAAATCAGCCAGTCCAATCAGCCAATCACACAGGAGCCCTGTATGTGCAGTTGTCCCGTCCTTGCTCAGCTCACAGATGTCCAGAACTCATTCTGAGAAGCGTGGCCGCTACTTTGAAGAAAAGTGTGGCTGTTTCTGTTAGAAGGAATAAGCAGGAATGTAGGTGAGCAGTATAATGTTTATGTAAATGATACCATCTTTCACTGGCTAATGGTGAGAATAACTGGGCGCTATTTTCTCATGATAGCTCACTTTTCTTTTCTTCCAGGTTGTATTGGCAGGTGCTTTTTATCCAAATTATTTTACTTTTGGACAGCCAGATGAGGAGATGGCAGTGAAGGAGCTGGCTGGCAAAGACCCAAAGACGACAGTTGTGGTAGGTGATGGGGAAGAGCCTTCCCCAGCGGAGGGGCCGCTGGCTCCCCAGACACTGCCCTAATGTGGCCTGTGCAGAAGGTTTTGTTGCTGTGGGTTTTCCCGTTAGTGAGCGTTAGGCTTTTCCAATGCCTCTACTTTCTCCAGTCTCTTTTTCCTCTTTTATGGACCAGATCTTACAGAGAGGCCTTCAGAATTTTTCTTTCATGGCAAGTGCTAATTTTATCATGTGCTATTTTATTATTATTTTCGGTGCTGGTCCTGGGCTTGAGCTCAGGACCTGGGTGCTGTTTCTGAGTTTTTCTGCTCAAGGCTAGTGCTCTACTTTTGGCTTTTTGGTAGTTAATTGGAGATCAGTGTCTGACAAACTTTTTTGCCTGGGCTGGTTTGAACCTTAATCCTTAGATCCCAGCCTCCTGAATAGCTAGGATTACAGGCATGAACCACCAGTATCTGATCTATCATGTGCTATTTTAAAGGAATTGAGGCATTTAAAAATAAATTTAGATGGGCACCAGTGGCTCATGCCTATAATCCTAGCTACTCAGGAGTCTGACTGAGGCTCGTGGTTCAAAGCCAGCCTGGGCAGGAAAGTCTGTGAGACTCTTCTCTCCAATAGACCACTAGAAAACTGGAAATGGCACTGTGGCTCAAGTGGTAGAGCACTAGCCTTGAGCTGAAGAGCTGAGGGACAGTGCCCAAGCCCAGAGTTCAAGTCCCCCGACCGACAAAAATAAATAAATAAATAAATTTAAGAACATTTTGTTAATACAGTGCTGTTGTATTTATTTTGCAGTCCTGGGGAACCTAGGGCTTCTTCCATAGGAAGCTAGCTCTGTACCATAGTGGCACACCCCAGCCTGACCTAGCTCATAAAAGGTTATTGGTTGGCAGCTTAGTTCTTTGGTTTAAACTAATAATCCTCTGTCTTGAATGCCCAAAAGAACTACTTAGAGAGTGCTTGCTGTCTATCTACCTATCTTTTTTTTGGTGTGTGTGTGTGTGTGTGTGTGCCAGTCCTGGGGTCTAAATTCAGGGCCTGGGTGCTGTCCCTGAGTTTTTTTTGCTCAAGACTGGCACTTTTTTTTTAAAATTTTATTTTATTTTATTTGTGAACAAACTGTACAGAGGGGTTACAATTGCATGGGCAGGATAATGCGTACATTTCTTACCAAGCATTGCAGCCTCCTCCTTTGTTTACCCTTCCCATCCCTTCCCAGCCTCCCCCCCCCCCCCCCCCCCCCAAGACTGGCACTTTTAACACTTAGCCACAGCTCCACTTCCAGCTCTTTGGTGATTAATTAGAGATGAGAATCTCTCAGCCTTGGCTACCTAGGCTGGTTTGGAATCGAAATCCTCAGATCTCAGCTTCCTGAATAGGTAAGATTACAGATACGAGCCATGGGCACCTGGCTTATTTATTTATTTCAAGCTCAGATTTGAGGTCCCCTCAGAGGGATAGGGGTAGAAGGTAGGATTTTTTTTTTGTCTTTTCTTTTTTCGTACTGGGGATTGAACCCAGGACGTTGCACTTGCTAGGCAAGCACTTTGCCACTGAGCTACATTCCAGCCCAAAGGTAGGATTTAAGAAAGGTGTGCTTGGAGTGCATCTAATGATCCAGGCCCAAGTTCTGACTGTTGGATCCATGCTGTGAGTCTTTGGCTTATACTCCAGCCGCAGTGTGTCTTAGGCTGGAGTAAAGCATTTGGGAGTGGCCTCTGACTGGACTGCTGAGCTGCCTGAGTAAAGCATTTGGGAGTGGGCTCTGACTGGACTGCTGAGCTGCCTGAGTAAAGCATTTGGGAGTGGGCTCTGGCTGGACTGCTGAGCTGCCTGAGCCTGAGCCTGGTAACGGGTAGTGAAAGCGCTTGGTGACATTAGCTCTGTGCAAACAGCAAGTGCTCAGTTCTGTTTCGGTCTGTTACAGCACTATTGCTCCTACTGGGAAAACCGGAAGTCCACACTACAAGGGCAAAGCCACAGATTACCAGAGCAGTATAAGTGCAGGTCTTTGAAGAGCGCTAGAAGTGAGTGGCGCACAGAAATGTATCTATTCCTGGGGGAGGATTTCAGTGTGAAGGGCAGTCAGTCACTCGTTGGGTCTCAATGGCTCAGGAAGCTGAGATCTGAGGGTCATGGTTCAAAGCCAGCCCAGGCAGGAGAGACTATGAGACTCTTTATCTCTCTAGTTAACCATGAAAAAGCCAGAAATGGAGCTGTGGCTCAAGTGGTAGAACAGTAGTCGTCTTGACCAAAAAAGTTCAGGGAAAGCACCCTGGCCCTGAGTTCAAGCTCCAAGACTGGCACCAAAGGAAAAAAAAAAAGTCAGCCACTAGCTTTTGTAACCTCTGAGGACTTATTTGCTTGGACTAGGTGCTGTTGTTGCAAGTCAGTTTTTCAGATGGCTTCCCCTCTTCTCCTTCCCCCTCCATGGTATCCTTCTATCAGCAGTGTGGATGGAAGGACCTACCTTAGATATATCCTTCAGCTTCCAGGCACTGTTCACCAGGTACTCTGGGGACACAAACTTAACCAATTATGAAACATGGAAACGAAGTCACAAACCAACTTTGTGTAGCTAGACTTTTAGGAGGTAGGAGTTGAGGGTTCATCATCTTTACTTCATGATGCGATGAGTCTTAACTTGTCTAAGGAGACACACAGCTCTTGGGAGGGACCAGACAGGATGTGAACTCGGACCCATGAACTAGCCAGGCCCTCACTTGGCTGCTGCTCTCCGAAGCTGTGTGTGCTGAGGTCAGCAGGAGGTCCCCTGCAGGGCTAAAGCTCAGAGCATGATGGTCCTGGCCATGCATAGGAATGCACACTGCTGGGCCAGCTTTACAGCAGCACCTTGTGGGTCCACCTGGTGAGCACCTGCCTGGGAGAGAGCCTGCCCCAAGAAGCACAACTTCCTCTAATTCCCAGTGTCTTATGTAGAATGTGAGGTTTTAAAAGGTCATGTTTAGCCAGGCACTGGTGGCTCATGGCTATAATCCTAGCTACTCAGGAGACTGAGATCTGAGGATTGTGGTTCAAAGCCAGCCCAAGAAGGAAAGTATGTGAGACTCTTATCTCCAGTTAACCACCAGAAAACAAGATGTGGCATGGTGGCTCCAGTGGTAGAGCGCTCACCTTGAGCTGAAGAGCTGAGGGACAGTGCTCAGGCCCAGAGTTCAACCCCCACAAATGACCAAAAGAAAAAAAAAGGATCATGTTTAGTGGATCTGATTATTTTAAGGTAACAAAGTAGAATTCTTAATTTTGCTATATTAGACTTGAATGACTTTGAGAAGAATTAACATGTTTCAACATTTTTCAATTGAAATTATTTAAAGTCATTAGGTAATTAGACACAGTGATCTGTCTTGACTATGTGTTATGATTAAAGGTAGTGAACTGGGCTTTTGCAGTGAAGGTGAGAAGCAGAAGTGTCAGGCTCATGAACATCGAGATCTTCTATTAGCCTTTATGTAACAGCTCTGACTAACTCTTGTTATGTCTTACAGTTGAAGCACATTCCTCCCTATGGATTTCTTTACTATAAACAGCTGCAGTCTCTCTTTCGACAGTGTGGTCAAGTCAAATCCATTGTATTTGATGGTGCAAAGTGAGTAGTCTATTTTTGTAATTGGCTACAATTATAAGAAAGGCAAAACATTTGAATGGTTCCTGAACTTGAGCTGCTTGGCGGGGTACCCGTGGAGTGGATGTCCCTGTGGGCAGCGTGGCTCTGTGTGCCTCCTGCTTCCCACGGGAGCTGCTCGCTTCCATCTCCACGCCACAAGGACACCCAAAATAGTCTGTCTGTTCATAGTTCTTTTGATGGTACTGAGGCTTGAAACCCAAGACCTTATGCTTGTAGGCAGGTGTCCTGCCACTTGAGCCAAACACCAGCTGTTTGTTGATATAGTTTTTTTTTTTTTTTGTCAGTCATGGGGCTTGAACTCTGGGCTTGGGCACTATCCTTGTGCTCTTCAGCTCAAGGCGAGCGCTCTACCGCTTGAGCCATAGCACCACTTCCAGTTTTCTAGCAGTTTATTGGAGATAAGAGTCTCACGAGGGGCTGGGAAGGTGGCTTAGTGGTAGAGCGCTTGCCTTGCATGCCTGAGGCCCTGGGTTCCATTCCTCAGCACCACATAAGCAAAGAGAAAAAAAGCTGGAAGTGGCCCTGTGGCTCAAGTGGTAGACTGCTAGCCTTGAGCTAAAGAGCTGAGGGACAGCGCCCAGGCCCAGAGTTTAGGCCCCATGACCGGACCCAAAAAAATAAAAAAAGAGTCTCATGAACTTTTCTGCCCGGGTTGGCTTTGAACCGCAATCCTCAGATCTCAGCCTCCTGAGTAGCTAGGATTGCAGGCGTGAGCCATCGGCGCCCGGCTGATATAGTTATTTTTTCAGTTGGTATCTTACAGTTTTTTTTCCTGAGCATGCCTCAAATGACAATCGTTATCTGATCTTTATCTCCTAAGTAACTGAGATTGCAGGTGTGCACTGCTGTGCCTGCTTTAAAATATGTTTATCCTAAATAACTTCAGAATATCAATGCTGAGAGAGTGTATTATTAGCAGGTCAGGAATACGTGGTATGTTGAACTATCCCTGGGAGTTTTCTTTCCAGTAGGAAATGCTTATACACAAGACTATTTATAGTTGTAATTTTTTTTTTCTGGTAGTGGAGCTTGAACTCTGGGCCTGGGCACTGTTTCTCAGCTCTTCAGCTCAAGGCGAGCATTCTACCACTTGAGCCACAGCGCCACTTCCTGCCTTTTCTGTTTATGTGATGGTGAGGAATCGAACCCAGGACCTCATGAATGTGAGGCAAGCACACTGAGCCACCTTCCCAGCCCTGGTTTAAAACTTTTTAACTTAGAAATGTTTGTCTAATGTTCTGTGAACATTAAGAATTTTTTTTATCTAACTGGATAGAGTTTGGCTAATCTGGCTAATAAGAACACTTTTTTGACTAATGTCTGGTTAATTCAGAAATAACTAAAGGTAATCTTAACAGACCAAACAAGCATTATCAGCATTTTTGAGGAGAGATGTGCATTGGGAATTTCTCCCTGATCTTGAGAGGAGTGCAGACCTTTTTCTGTCAGATGCCTGATGGGTTGGTGTTGATTTCTATTTGTGGAGCAGAGCCTTTGTGGAGTTTGCACGGAACCCCACAGAGAGGTTTAAGGCGCTTCCTGCGGTGTACATGGCGGTGAAGATGTCCCAGCTGAAAGTACCATTGGAGCTCTGTGTTCACGCCGCCGAGGAGATTGAAGGGAAGGTGCAAGGGGGGACAGTGTCCAAGCTGAGGAGCACGAGGTATTTCCAGAAGGTTCTGCCTGTTTTCCTGTTGCTGTCAGCCTTGGCATTAGCTCACTATGCAGGCCCAGCTTGGTGGCCAAGCAGTACTGATTCCAAGGCCCCGCTTCCTTACTTCCTTGAAGTATGTGCTTGGCACGTTACTGACCCTCTCTGAACTGCAGTGATTTCCAGCTGTTAATTCTAGAAGGGTGTTGAGATCAATGAGTGGAATCATTTATGTAATTTTCAGTTTTAGTAGTAGAGGCTAAACGTTAATTTCCTTTCTTCCTCCTTAGGTTTATGCATTCTCTTTAAAAAGTTTTGTTTTGTTTTGATTGGTCTGGGCCTGGGTGCTTCCCCCAACTCTTCAGCTCAAGGCGAGCGCTCTACCACTTGAGCCACAGCACCACTTCCAGTTTTCTGTGGTTTATTGGAGATAAGAGTCTCATGGACTTTCCTGCCTGGGCTGGCTTTGAACCGTGATCCTCAGATCTCAGCCTCCTAAGTAGCTAGGATTACAGGCATGAGCCACTGACGCCCAGCTGCTGGGAAGATGGCTCAGTGGTAGAGCGCTTGCCTTGCATGCATGAGGCCCTGGGTTCCATTCCTCAGCATCACATAAGCAAAAAGAAAAAAGCCAGAAGTGGCGCTGTGGCCATCTTCCCAGCCCCAGATAAGGTCTTTTCTAGAGTTCTTGTTGTTTGTTTATATTTATTTATTTTATTTATTTTTGGTGGTGGGGCTTGAACTCTAGGCTTGGGCACTGTCCCTGTACTCTTCAGCTCAAGGCGAGCGCTCTACCACTTGAGCCACAGCGCCACTTCTGGTTTTCTAGTCGTTCATTGGAGATAAGAGTCTCATGGACTTTCCTGCCCGGGCTGGCTTTGAACGGTGATCCTCAGATCTCAGCCTCCTGAGTAGCTAGGATTACAGGCGTGAGCCACTAGCGCCTGGCTATTGTTGTTTATTTTAGAATAAAAGTATTAGGAAAGGAAAATTTTGTACATCACATTTCTTTCACATCGCAGAGCTTTAGCACTTGATGTCTTGTTGCTCTATGGGATGAACGATATTTCTTCAGCTTATTGGACAATTACGTGTGTACTCCAGGAGCACTGAACCACGTTTGGCCTCTTAGTGTACTCAGGGCCTGGGCTCTGTCCCTTAGCCTCTCTGTGCTCACGGCTAGCGCTCTACCACTTGAGCCATAGCACCACTTCCAGCCTTTTCTGTGTATATGCTCCTGAGGAATTGAACTCAGGGCTTCATGCATGCTAGGCAAGCACTCTACCACTGAGCCACCTTCCCAGCTCTTTTTTTTGTTGTTGTTGGTTGTGGGGCTTGAGCTCAGGGCCTGGATGCTGTTACCAACCACTTTTAGCCACAGCTCCACTTCTGGTTTTCTGGTGGTTAATTGGAGATAATAGTCTCACAGACTTTCCTGCCTGGGCTGGATTTGAACCATGAGTCTCATATCTCAGCCTTCTGAGTAGCTAGGGTTACAGGTGTGAGTCACCAGCACCCTGCAGACACTTAGTTTTCTAAAGTCAAAACCGCTCCTGAGAGCTGGGCGCTGGTGGCTCACACTTGTAATCCTAGCTACTCAGGGGATTCTGTGGCTCAAGTAAGAGTACTAACCTTGAGCCGAAGGACTGAGTAACAGTGCTTAGGGCCCAGAGTTCAAGCTCTGCGACCAATACCACCACCACAAAAAAACCCACTCCGGAAATTACAACGGTAGGAGGCATTGCAGGTCTTGGATATAGATTTTTCTTTTTGGTCGGTTGTGGGGCCTAAACTCTGGGCCTGGGTGCGCCCCTTCCAGCTGTTTTTTCTGTTTATGTGGTACTGAGGAGTCGAACCTAGGGCCTTATACATGCGAGGCAAGCGCTCTACCCCAGCCCATGGATTTAGAATTTTTATCCTTGGAAGTAGATATTCTATACTAGTCTTGGCCTTGGAGATGTATTCCTTGTTCCAGAAGGATAATTATTAGGATATATACTCTTTCCAGGGCAGCTCAACTCAGCAAGCCACCAGAAATTCACTTTTGAGATGAGATAAAACTTATCATCTCTGGTTGTATTTATCAGCTTTTTATCTCCATTACAAATACTTGAGGTGACCAGTTTATCAAGAGAAAAGATTTGTTTTGGCTCATGGTTTCTGAGGTTTCAGAGCATTGTTGGTTGGCTCTGTTGACTTGGGCCTGTAGCAGGTTAGCATATCATAGTGGAAGAAACCACCGACCTTGTAGCTGCCAACAGCAAAGGGATCAACAGGCCAGTCCTGGTTCCCCTTCAAGGACCACCAAGGTAACACCTTCCTTCTCTAGGCCCAGCCTCCTAAAGTGGCATTGTACCTCACTGTCCCCAAGGCTTCCACACAAGGCAGGCTTTCCAAATCTAAACTATAGCACCAACTTAGGTGTTTCATGAAATGTTCTTTTCTTGTACAAGTATTAGGACAAGTCATGGAACTTCACGAACATAAACATTGTTTTGGAAACTTTTTTAAAAAAATAATACTTGTGTGTTACATAGGGTGAATGTGGACTTCCAGAAGCAGACAGTAGATCCTATGCAAGTCTCATTCAACACATCAGACAGGTCCAAGACAGTTGCTGATGTCTTCCTTACTATTGATGTCACGGAGGTAAGAATGTGTGATGGTGAGATTAGAGCCTTTCTCATCTTTCTCTTTTTTTCTTTTTTTCCCATCCTGGGGCTTGAAATTAGGGTCTGGGCACTGTCCTTGATTTCCTTTTGCTCAAGGCTAGCACTCTACCACTTGAGCCACAGTGCTACTTCTGGCTTTTTCTGTGATTAATTGGAGATGAAAGTCTCCCAGACTTTCCTGTCTGGCTTTGAACCCTGATCCTCAGATCTCAGCCTCCTGAGAAGCTAGGATTACAGGTGTGAGCCACCAGCACCTGGCCCTTTTTCATCTCTGATTTTGCTGATACTGTGTGTGTGTTTGTGTGTAAAACATTCCTATACACATAGCTGTGCACTCTAACCATGTTTTAAGCATGGGTGAGTTTGAATTAGTGTGCTTCAGAATAGAGTGAAATAATATAACAAACATTTCAAAATTAATTTTTAAAATGTTAAGTACATTTAAAATGATAAAAAATAAACCGGGCAAGAGTTGGCTCACACCTGTAGTCCTAGCTACTCAGGAGGCTGAGATCTGAGGATCGAGGTTCAAAGCCAGCCTGGGCAGGAAAGACCGTGAGCCACCTAGCTCCAATAAACCACAAGAAAACTGGAAGTGGCATTATAGCTGAAGTGGTAGAGCGCTCGCCTTGAGCTGAAGAGCTGAGGGACAGCACCCAAGCCCAGAGTTCAAGCCCCATGACTGACCAAAAAAAAAAAAAAGATAGGCATAATTGACAAGATACATGTTAAAAATTGGCATTGTGATATGTGCCTATATAATTAAATTTATATTACTAAAACTAATATTAGCACTACAATTATTTGGTATGATTGTTATTTCTTTTCTTTTTTTTTTTAATTGTGAAAATACCGTACAGAGAGGGGTTACAATTACATGGGCAAGATAATGAGTACATTTCTTATCAAGCATTGTTTCCTCTTCCTTTGTTTCCCCTTCTCATCCCTTCCCATTTGAGCCACAGCACCACTTCGGGCTTTTTCTGTGTAATGAGCAATTGAACCCAGGGTTTCATGCATGCAAGGCAAGTACTTTCCCACTGAGCCACATTCCCAGCCCTGGTTTTTATTTCTTTTTTTTTTTGGTCCAGTTGTGGGGCCTGAACTCTGGGCCTGGGCGCTGTCTCTCAGCTCTTCAGCTCAAGGCTAGCGCTCTACCACTTGAGTCACAGCGCCACTTCCAGCTTTTTTCTGTTTTTGCTTATGTGGTGTTGAGGAATTGAACCCAGGGCCTCAGGCATGCAAGGCAAGCACTCTACCACTGAGCCACCTTCCCAGCCCAAGGTTTTTATTTCTTTAAAATTTTAATTAAAGTACATGGGGTCTTTGAGATTCAGCTCAAGGGTATGGCTACAGCTCTTGCCTTACATGTGTGATGCTCTGGGTCTGATCCCAGCCACCAGAATCAAAACACTTCTTACATGCTTTCTGGTGAATCCACATTCGTGTGTAAATCTCGGTTCTAGACAGATGGAGACACTAGTGTCTGTGGCCCTTCATGTTCTGAGCAGTAGTGACAAGTTGCTCAGCATGGCCTTTGCCGAAATATGCCAGGACCCACATACTACCAGTTGTCTGTGGCTGTGTACTTGCACAACACCTGGCCTAACCAGCTTGGGGATTACCTGAGGCCCTGTGGGATTGGCTTTATGTCTGGGCTAGACTCAAACCTCTCAGAGCCTTTAGTACCTGGACGTGGCCCAGTGAGTCCTGCTCCTCCAGGAACAGAATGTGTCACACACACTTCCTTACTTAGTTGCTCGGAGCCCTCTTTTTTCTTCTCTCACAAGCACTCTTAGCAAGTGCACACATACCCAGGACTAAGTTTGCAAAGTGCCATGGAGTCTCCCTTTGTAGTGTTCATCCCTGCCATTCCTTTCCCTTGTAGGTGGTAGAAGTGGGCCACTTTTGGGGGTACAGGATTGATGAAAGGAACACAGAACTTCTTAAAAAGCTCACTGCTGAGATAAACCAGCTGGAACTGGCGCCCCTGCCTGTTCACCCTCACCCGGACCTGGTCTGCTTGGCGCCTTTTGCTGACTGTGACAGGGAGAGCTACTTTAGAGCCCAGATCCTTTATGTGTCTGGAGACCACGCTGAGGTAGGTTCTCTGTAACAAACCGTTCAAACTAAAGGGAAATAACAGGTAGAAATGGATGTAAAATGATCGCACTAGGGAAGCCTGAGATATTTCCATCATCACTATGGGTTTTAGACCTGACCCACTGGGGAAGTCTGCAGGACCGTGGTCAGCACTGCGTTGCGTAAGGCTGAGGCTGTCTGAGCCATAGATCTAAGATTCACTTTTTTCCATCTTCTAGGTATTCTTTGTAGACTATGGCAATAGAACTCGGGTAGAGCTGTGTCTTCTAATGGAGATTCCGAGTCAGCTTCTCGAGCTTCCATTTCAGGTGAGGTAGAGTCTGTTGTAGTGAGAGTTGGGTGCACGTGGCCCCTACCATTCCATCTTACCAGCCAGGGCCCAGTGTAGGGAAGGGGCTGGCCACTGCTGATGCTGCTGCTGCTGTTGCTGATGAGGAAAAAAATGAGGTCAGAGATGGGAAGGTGACTCAGTGGCAGAGTGCTCGCCTAGCTAATGCATGAGGCCCTGGTTCCGTTCCTCAGTACCACATGCACAGAAAAAGGTGGAAGTGGTGCTGTGGCTCAAGTGGTAGAGTGTTAGCCTTGAGCAAAAGAAGGCTCAGGGACAGCACCCAGGCCCTGAGTTCAAGCCCCAGGACTGGCAAAAAAGAAAAAAGTAAGAACAAGTTTCTTTAGCTGTGAAAATTTTACTATTTACCATTTATTTATTTATGTATTTATTTATTGTCAGTCCTGGGGCCTGAACTCTGGGCCTGGGCACTGTCCCTCAGCTCTTCAGTTCAAAATGAGCACTCTACCACTTGAGCCACAGCACCACTTTCAGCATTTTGGTGGTTAATCAGAGATAATGTCACAGACTTTTTTTCCTGCGCTGACCTCAAACCATGATCCTCAGATCTCAGCCTCTTGAATAGCTAGGATAACTGATGTGTGCCACTGGCATCTAGCTTACTTGCTTTTAAAGTCACTGCAGTATGCCTTTCTTTCTTACATAGGCTTTGGAATTTAAGATTTGCAAAATGCGACCCTCGGCGAAGTCTCTTGTTTGTGGTGAGCATTGGAGCGGCAGAGCCAGCGGGAGGTTTGCTTCCCTTGTGAGTGGCTGTGCCCTGCTAGTGAAGGTTTTCTCAGTTGTGCACAACGTGCTGCATGTGGATGTGTACCGCTACTTGGGGACCCAGGACATCGTCAACATCAGAGACATCCTCATTGGAGAGGGCCATGCTGAGCTTTCAGAGGAGTCCTATGAGTCGAAAGTATGTACCTCCATCCTGTGAGAGCACTCGTGTGTCTGCAGTCTCAGGGGAGAGGTGGGGAGGAGAAAACCAAGGAGCGGGGGGCACTTTGCCTCCTCTCTGAGGTTAAGAGGGATGGATAGATGAATGATGCTGATGATGGAGATGGCGGGCCAAGCCTGGATCAGGTCTGTGGGTCTGTTTATAGCTTCTGGATCTCCCTGAGGCTGTGCTGGTTGGATATCATTTTGTTTTCCATTTAAGCTTTTTCCCCTTGAAATGAAAATTAGATTTGAATATGTTCTATAATTTGCTTCTTTTAAAATGGATTCTAAGAATTATCTTGATAATGATTGTTATTAATAAAATATTTTTCACATTTTAAAATATATCTTGGAGCTGGGTGTTGGTGCCTCATGCCCGTAATCCTAGCTACTCAGGAGGCTGAGATCTGAGAATCGCAGTTCAACGCCAGCCTGGGCAGGAAAGACTGCGAGACTCCAATAAACCACCAGAAAACTGGAAGTGGTGCTGTAGCTCAAGTGGTAGAGCGCTCGCCTTGAGCTGAAGAACTGAGGGACAGCGCCCAGGCCCAGAGTTCAAGCCCCACAACCGACAAAAAAAAAAAAATTATCTTGGGCTGGGAAGATGGCTCAGTGGTAGACTGCTTGCCTTGCATGCATGAAGTCCTGGTTTTGACTCCTCAGCACCACATAAACAGAAAAATCCAGAAGTGGTGCTGTGGCTCAAGTGGTAGAACGCTCTTTTTGAACTGAAATGCTAAGGGACAGTGCTCAGGCCCAGAGTTCAGGCACCATGACTGACAAAAATTAAAATTAAAATAAAAAATTAACTTTCTTTCAAGATGAGTTGTAACGTTACTTTTCTTGGCCTGAAAGTTTCCAAGAGGCTGCTTTCTGCTCAGTGCTGAAAGTCTTTGGTTGTGCTTCTGTGGTAGCTGCTGTGGGTGAAGATTCAGGGAGTTGGGAAAGGACAGTCTAGCAAGACCATATCTAGAGAGCTGGCTAAATTTTCTAACAGCTGAAAAATAAGAACTGTGATGAGATTCCCTGTGTAAAACTGAATTTTATATGTAAAACACCCGTATTTTCTTTTCTTTTCTTTTTGTCGGTCGTGGGGCCTGAACTCTGGGCCTGGGCGCTGTCCCTCAGCTCTTCAGCTCAAGGCTAGCGCTCTACCACTTGAGCCACAGTACCACTTCCGGCTTTTTTCTTTTTGCTTATGTGGTGCTGGGGAATGGAACCCAGGGCCTCATGCATGCAAGGCAAGCACTGTACCACTGAGCCACCTTCCCAGCCCCAACACCTGTATTTTCTGATGGCTAACACATAATAAAGTATTACCTTCTTTTACTTGAATTTTATTTTTATTTTATTTTTTGTTGGTCATGGGGCCTGAACTCTGGGCCTGGGCGCTGTCCCTCAGCTCTTCAGCTCAAGGCTAGCGCTCTACCACTTGAGCCACAGTACCACTTCCGGCTTTTTTCTTTTTGCTTATGTGGTGCTGAGGAATCGAACCCAGGGCCTCAGGCATGCGAGGCAAGCGCTCTACCACTGAGCCACCTTCCCAGCCCCAGTCCAGGTTTCCTGCTGCTGAAAGGGCTGTGGGTTGGGCACTGGGGCTGGCCCTGCCGCCTCTCTGGAGAAGAAGGCTGGCTGCAGGTTCTTCTGTTCAGAGACCCCACTTTTATTGCCCCAGCCATTGGCCTTGCGGCGTAATGCTTGTCTGTTCAATGGGTTTGATCTACAGAAAAGAATCATACTTTTATTAACATATTTGTCAATGTTTCACGTAGAGCAGAGAGGAAGAATTTTAGTCAGTTTCATTCCAGGAAAAGAACACGTGTGTGTGCATGGGCACAGTGTTTGCCAGTGTGCCACTCCTGGACTTGAACTCAGAGCCTGGACCCTGTCCCTGAGCATTTTTGCTCAAGGCTAGCACTCTACTACTTGAACCACGGTGCCATTTCTGGTTTTTTGGTGTTTAGTTGAAGATAAAGAGGGGTTGGAGACATAGCTCAGGTGATAGGGCATCAGACAATGAGCAAAAGCATCAGCTACTGAGTTTGAAGCCCAGTCTTGAACCAACAAAACCTCAAGAAATTGGAAGTATGAATCTCATGGACTTTCCTTCCTCAGCTGGCTTCAAACTGTAATCCTCATATATCATCAGTCTCCTGTGTGACTAGGATTACAGGAGTGAGCCATTAGCACTCAGCTAGGGCTTTTTGTGTTGTGCTAAAGATCAAGTTCAGGGCCTTATACATACTAGACAAGTACTGTACCGCTGACTTGTGTACCCAACCCAAAATACCTTTGTTTTTCTTTTTTTTTCTTTATTTTTAATCACTCCTCCCTTCCCTCCCTCCACTCCCCTCCCCTCCCTCCCCCCCTCCCTCCCTCTCTCCCTCCCTTGTCCTGTCCTGTCCTACCTACCCTTCCTTTGTTCTTGGATTTAAACTCAGGGCTTTGTGTTCAGTAGCCTCTGAGCAAGGCCTCCAGCCCTCTTACTAAACTTGGAAAATGTAGTCTTTACAGTGTGTGCTGACTTAGACTTTTACACGTGATAGTGCATGATGTACTGCTCATTACTCACGTTTGTGCTTTGTGTGCAGGCTGTGCTCCATGGGCCCTTTAACCCATATGAACTGAAGTGTCAGAGTTTGACCAGAATATCCAAGTTCAGGTAGGATTCAGTTAATTTTCCCACGATTTTTTTCTCTGCTCCTTTATTAGAGACTTCATCAGATACGAATCTTTATTTGTATCCCAACTGCTGGGATATTTCATACTCATCTTAATTCCTACCTAGCTCCAAATCTCTCTTCCACAAAAACAGTTTACAGTACATATTTTGGGGTATCTTCTCTTGGAGATTTCATTTTTCCTATTCTAGTCCTGACTGACTCTGCAGGCCTGTGGGTGTCCTGGATCTGGGATGGTAACCAGTGTGCTCTGAGAAGCCCTGCGTGGTGGCTGCGTGGTGGCCAGTGGGGTTATCTGAGGCGCAGTTGATGCTAGTTGAAGTTCGGTTAGCACCTGTCATCTTCACTAATTCTGTGGATCCAGTGTGATTCTATGGAAAAGAAGACTAGCGGTGACAAGGTTCTGGACAGGGGTCCCAGAACACCATGGAAGTGTCTGGGCCTGACAGCACTTGGGAGACAGTAGAGCTGTTAGGAGGAGTTTGAGATCTGATGAGTGTGGAGGCGTTTGCCAGGGCAGTGTTGGGGATCAGGGTGAGTTGGCATAGCCCAAATCTGAGCACTGAAGTAAGTTTTGATTGAATTGGACGTGGGGTGCTGACCCTGTGGCACAAGGGCGATGCTTATAAGCCATGTTTTAGTGTTCATCCACAAACTGAAGCCTTACTGTGATCCCTCTGGAGTGCTGGGGGCTTGCCTGCCACAAGCATGAGGACCTGAGTTCTGGTCCCAGTACTGCAAAAGAAACCATCACTTAGGCAACCCCTAGCTTCTCCAAGTTCCTCTCCATCCCTCAAGGAATGGTGGTGAGGAATTCATGAAGGAGTGGTTGAAAATGCACATGCTCAGACCCTGCCTTCCACGGTGCTTTCCTGCATGAGCACTGAAATTTGTGTGCAGAATATATTGGGTTTCTTTCTTTCTTTCCTTCCTTCCCTCTCTTTCTGTCGCTCTCTCTGTGTGTCTCTCCCTTTCCTTTTTCTAAAAAAATTTATTTATTTTTTATTATGAAAATACTGTACAGAGGGTTTACAATTACATGGGCAAGATAATGAGTACATTTCTTTTTTTTTGAGTACATTTCTTATCAAGCATTGTAGCCTCCTCCTTTGTTTCCCCTTCCCATCCTCCCCCCCGCCCCTCTTTCTTTCCTTTCTTTCTTTCTTTTTCTCTCTCTCTTTCTCTTTTTCTCTTTCTTTCTCTCTCTGTTTGTTTGTCATGGGATTTGAACTCTGGGCCTGGTTGCTGTCCTGAGATTTTCAGCTCAAGGCTAGCCCTCTATCACTTAAGCCACAGCACCACTTCCAGTTTTCTGGTGGTTAATTGGAGATAAGAATCTGACAGACTTAGGGCTGGGAAGGTGGCTCATTGGTAGAGTGCTTGCCTTGCATGCATGAGGCCCTGGGTTGGATTCCTCAGCACCACATAAGCAGAAAAAGCTGGAAGTGGTGCTGTGGCTCAAGTGTCAGAGTGCTAGCCTTGAGCTGAAGAGCTGAGGGACAGCGCCCAGACACAGAGTTCAGGCACCGTAACTGGCAAAAAAAAAAAGAGTCTGACACTTTCCTGCCCTGGCTGGTTTTGAACTGTGATCCTCAGATCTCAGCCTCCTGAGAAGCTAGGATTACAGGTGTGAGTCACTGGTGTCCACTACGTTGGATTTCTGAGTGAGAAGTTCCTTCTCGGACTGGTCCTTGGTGTAACTGAGGCCCGGACAGGAGGTACCTGTGGGACAAACAGGCTGGAGCTCAGGCTGGTCAGTGATGAGGGATAAGAAAGAAGAAACGTCCTGTAGAGTGCCTGCAAATCTTCTGCTGCTGAGAAGCAGCGTGGGGAGAGTAGGCTCACTGTCGACCGCCCTCTGCAGGACGCAGAGCCGATAGAGGAGCAAGTTGGGGCATCCTCATGTGCTGGTGGCTAAAGACAGGGAGCGATGGCCACGTGAGGAGTGGGGAGGGTGGAAGGGAGGAGGCGGGAGAGCCAGTATGAGGAGGGCCTCAGCCTGTGACTGCCACTGGGACATCTCCTGAGGGGCACTCGTTGTGGGCTGGCATGAGTCACGGCCTGATCGGGGACCGACGCCCTGTCCCCTGCCAACCTTGCCAGGTGTGTTTGGATCGAGAAGGAGAGCATCAACTCAGTGGTCATCAGTGACGCCCCTGCTGACCTGCACCAGAGAATGCTGGTGGCAGCCTCGCTCTCGGTCAACGCCACTGGTGAGCAGAGGGCTTTGATTTGTCTGTCCTCTCTCCTTTTCCTTGACAGACTGCTGGAAAGTGTTTCTGCTCATATATTATATTTTTAGGCTATTTTCTGAGTGCACTGGCTGAAGCAGGTTTAAGAAGTGGAACATGATTGCTTTCTGTTACACAAGAATGTGGGAATTAGTTGAGTCCTTAGCACTCAGTTATTCATAGTGCTTGGCTAGAGAATAAACCCAAGATTTGGGGTCTGGGGAAAGTCAGTGGTGTGATGCGGTGAAAGGGAAGAACAGAGTGATTGCTCAGAGGGCGCTGCCGAAGCAGCCTCCTGAGGCGCCCGTCTGGAGGAGGGGTCACCACGGGAGCCGAGGGCAGAGGCGGGAGTTCTCTTTGGTGGGCTGGGAGCCCATGAGACAGACCCAGCAGATGTGGGCGGCCTTCCACACTGACTTCTATTTCCCTGTGCCGCAGGGTCCACCATGCTCCTGAGAGAGACTTCTCTGATGCCTCACATCCCCGGCCTCCCAGCTCTCCTCAGTATGCTGTTTGCACCCGTGATGGAGTTGAGGTAGAGCGTAGGCCTCCATGTTGACCCTACCTGAGCTTTTGTACAGTGAAAACCTAGATGGAGCCAGAAGGCATTTTCTTTCCTCTTTAAGAGAAGCATTTGCAGAAGTGTGTGTGTGTGTGTGTGTGTGTGTGTGTGTGTTTCTGGGACTTGAACTTGGCACTGTCCTGAGCTGTTAAAGAACCTCTTGTTTCCATTTCCTGGAGTTCATTCTGGTAAATAATTCATGTGATGGGAGGCACGAAGGCATTGCGCCTCTGTGTCCCTCCTCTAGAGCATCCTCATTTCTGTCCCTGAGCTCTTTTGCTCAAAGCTAGCATACTGCCACTTGAGTTGCACCTCTACTTCTGGCTTTTTTTTTTGCTGGTTAGTTGGAGATAAGAGTCTCCTGCCCTGGCTGGCTTCAACCCACGATCTTCAGATCTCAGCCTCCAGAAGAGTAGGTAGGATGACAGGCATGGCCACTGCCACCCAGCTTGTCTGGCAGTTTTTTGGCTTTCCCTCGGCTCCACTGTGATTCATTCTTGCTACCACTGATGAATACACGGCTCTGGACTTCCTTTTGTTATTATTATTTTAGCTTTATGGTGGTGCAAAAGTGGTACTTGTTAGAAGAAGCCATACTTGAGCCCCGGGGCCGGCCGCAGGCAGTCGGGTTTGCTGGCATCGTGGGTGGCTGCAGGTGCTCCCACAGGCCGGGAAAGCCGGCACTCTGCAGCATGCTGTGTTGAGGACCTGGGGTGCTCCGGTTGGGGCGCTCAGGGCATTTTCTACCTCTCTCATACCAGCAGCTCTTGTCATGGGAACCAGGATAACAGGAGGAGGAGGACTGTCTAGCTGATTGTAGTTTTTGTGCCAAGACTGAATGGGGACTTTTCAAGTGACATCTTACTGAGAACGGTGTGCAGATACAGCCGTCTCATAAGGCGTTACTGGAGCCCTGGGAGCCTCAGTGCACTCCCAGGGTGAAGCACTGTGCTAGGCAGCCTTGGCGGCCGGGACAGAGTAGATAAGAAGAACAGAGGAGGAAGTCTTACTGTGGCCTGAGGTCTCAGAGCCTTCAAGTGGAGGTGTCCTCCAGAAATCTCCCTAGTGAAAAGCTAGCCCATTCAGAGCTACTCAAAAACAGAACCAAGAAACTGTATTATAATTCTGTGTTCATTAACTCATCTATGTCAGTGAAAAAGAAATTCATATTAATATTGGGTTAATATGGGTACTTGACTCTCATCGTAACAATATCTATTTCTGTGTAAAAACCAGAGGAAATACACAAATGAAATGAGTTACTAATGGAGGAGGATTTTATCAGTCAATTCTTGAGTGCTAAAATGGTGAAATATAGTGAACGTCCCTTAAAATGCGTACCTCAGGGTTGATCGCGACGGAAAATGCTACACTGGTGTCCTGTGTGGTTTGGGATGGAGTCCGACCACCGAGGCCCCTGTGCTGCCTGAGCATGACATGGAACTGGCGTTCGACGTGCAGTTCAGCGTGGAGGACATCGTTGAGGTTAGTGTGAAAACTCTTCACAGAGCCAGCGAGTCCTCTGACTCACCATGCTTTCACCCTTAGGATATTGTGTCTGCTGTCATGCTTTATCTGGTGGCATACACGCTTGTCCTCAGGGTGACAGCTCCCTGCACTGCCAGGGAGAGGGAGTGCTCCTGACCTGAGCAGAGGGAGTGCTCCTGACCTGAGCAGAGGGAGTGCTCCCGACCTGAGCAGAGGGAGTGCTCCCGACCTGAGCAGAGGGAGTGCTCCCGACCTGGGCAGAGGGAGTGCTCCCGACCTGAGCAGAGGGAGTGCTCCCGACCTGAGCAGAGGGAGTGCTCCCGACCTGAGCAGAGAGAGTGCTCCCGACCTGAGCAGAGGGAGTGCTCCCGACCTGAGCAGAGAGAGTGCTCCTGACCTGGGCAGAGGGAGTGCTCCCGACCTGAGCAGAGGGCGTGCTCCTGACCTGGGCAGAGGGAGTGCTCCCGACCTGAGCAGAGGGCGTGCTCCTGACCTGGGCAGAGGGAGTTGGGGTGGTAGGTGACAGTAGGAGGGGTGTGGTTAACAAGGAGAAGATGCTTGTGGACCAAGAAGTTGATTTGCATGTATAAAAACAGGACAATGTTCATTGTTTTAAGAACTGGGAGGGGGTGGGGTCAAACAGATGGGTGAAGGGGATCAGGATTCCTTGTATACATGTGTGGGCATGTCACAGTGAAATCCCCTATACGATAATAGATATGGTAGTGATTATTGATATTGTTTCTTTTGTTTTAATAGTTAAACATTATTCATCCCATACAGGTGTCAGTCATAGAAAGTACTCTGAGTGCTACAAGCTGCTTCCTGGGGAATAAAACCCAAGCTGTGTGGAGCTGTGTGAATATTTATGTCACTGTTTATTTGCAGATCAATATTCTCAGGGCTGCCATCAACAAATTGGTGTGTGATGGACCAAATGGGTCCGAGTATCTCGGACCAGAAAGAATTGTGCAGTTACAGGATAATGCCCGTCAGAAACTTCTAGGGTAAGTCGTGTCATGAGGCAGACTCCTGCAGCGCGGTGTTGATTGTGGGTGTGAGGAAGCATGTAGGAACTTTGTTGGATCGGCTGCCTCACAGGAGCCTCTAGAGCCAAGACAGCCGCAGACGTTGGTGGGGTGTTGACCCCACCCTGTCAGCCAGAGTGCAGGCCGCACAGGCGGCATTGGCCTGGATGGGCGACTCTAGGAAAGCATGCGGGAGGGGTCATTTTGGATGCCAGGGCAGGGCACAGGACCACAGGGAGTGGGTACCATAGGTCAAAGAAGAGGAAGAGGGCTGAAAGCCGACTAAACGTTTTACCTCTCTCTGGACTCCTCATTAGCCAAACCCAGCCAGAGGGCAGGGAGTGCCCCTTGGTGTAGATGGAGAACCAGAGGAGGCTGAGGAGATTGGGCACAGTCAGGAAGAGAAACAAAGGCGTCCCACTCCTGGGGTGGTGCGCCATCTGAGGGCCAGCATCTCAGGCAGGGCACCAGGTCCTCTGCCCTCTGCTCCTGTGCTGGCTGAAAGCTGGAGCCATGAAGGGAAGATGCCATGAGCACCCCCAGGGTGTTCTTCTTCCCCGACCCAGGCGGGCTTCACTGGCTCAGCCAGGGTCTTCAAAAGGTATTGAGTATATAAAGCTGCTGTAGAAATTGTGAGAAAGGCTAACTTTACTTTCTTTGCTCACTTTCTTTGCAAATAAGAATGTTTTACTATAATGTTCCTGTCTTAAAACTTAACGTACATAGAAGAGCGCTTAACGTACATAAAAGAGCACGTGAAGGGCAGGGAATGAGGCTTCTAGCAACTGGGCACTCCTTCAGCCTGACACAGCCTGGCAGCCCTGCCCCTCAGCACAAGTAACTGTGTCCTGGTTAGTTAATGTTGAGCACCAAAATGCTTTCAGTCAATGTGTGGAGCTGTGCAGACCGTCAGCGTCATTTTTCATCAGCACCATTTGGAGGCAGTGTTGGTCACAGCCTTGAGACTGCCAGGGCTGTGTGTGTGCTTCCTGTTGGCCCCCAGAGGGGCTCGCTGACCACAGGGGCCAACACTTGCCCTGAGCGGATCTTGCTTCACCCTTCTCTATGTAAAGGAAGTCTTATTCCAGCCCGTGTTTGACTATGTGTGTCTTCCTTGGCTGCTTTGACACCAGGAGGCTCATCCGTGGTCTCCTGAGGATAGGCCACAATGGCCACTAGCTTGCTGGATACAGAATCATGACGTTTGAACAACTTGTACAAATGACTAAAACTAAGAGATTTGATACCTACAATAGGTAGACTTTGTGGCATGTAAGCCGCACATCGGTAAGGCTGTCTACCCTCAGCTTTGGATGGCCGTGGGCTATGGCTCTATACATCTGCCCTCTCTGGCATTTTGATATATATGCAATCATTTTTTCTTTAAAAATCTGCTTTTATTAAGTAGGGTTTGTCCATGTTGTAACATGTTCATCATTGGCATATGCCATTTTGTTATTCCTTTACCAGTTGATAAAGTTTGTGAGTTGTTTCTAGCATTTGGCTCTGTGAATAACAGAGCCTTGTCACGGTTTTTGTGAGCATGTTTGCAGATGCCTCCCTTGGGTAGAAATTCAGGAGTAGACTTGTTGGGTTGTATCAGTCTGTGTTAATTTTTAAAGAAAGGACCAAATGGACAAACTCTTTGCAAAGTCCCCATGCCTCGCACGAGCTGCACGCCAGCTCCCGTCTCCACATCCTCACCTGCACGGCATGGCCAGACTGTTTTGTTTTGTTTTTACTGTAGCCAGTCTACTGGTATGCGATAATATCTAACTGTAGATAACCTCGTTATGTAGCAATAATTTGTTTGGCCAATAGTTTATCTTTCTTTGATCTTTCACCCATTTACAAATGTTTTGTCTTCTCATTGAATTATACAAATGCCTTATAAATTGCCCCATTATCTTTCACCTTAATATGTTCTGTAGATGACAGAGGGTTTTTGTGTATGTGGGAGTGTGTGTGCATGTATGTATGTATGTATATGTATATGTGCACACACGCATGTATGTGCCAGTCCAGGGGCTTGAACTCTGGGCCTAGGCACTGTCATTGAGCTCTTTTTGTGCTCAAGAGTTCTATCACTTGAACCATAGCCCCACTTGAGGCTTTTTCTGTGATTAATTAGAGATAAGAGTGTCATAGACTTTCCTGTCCAGGCTAGCTTCAAAGTGCAGTCCTCAGATCTCAGCCTCCTGAGTAGCTAGAATGACAGGTGTGAGCCACTGGTGCTCTGCTGACAGTTTTCTTCTTTTTGGCAGTACTGAGATTTAAACTGAAAGCCTTGTGCTTTCTAGGCAGGTACTCTGCCTTCTGAACCACACCACCAGCCCCTTTTTGTACTGGTTATTTTTTTCATTGTGAAAGTAGTAGGAAAGTCTATTAGGAAAAGAATACACTGACAGCCGACTGAAAATGGGTCACCTCCAAGGAAGAATGACCTACTTACACTGGCTACTTTTACAATCAATTCTCAGTTCCTGCCCAGGGATGTGCCTGGACCGACATTCTCCTATTTTTTACTTCTGTCTGTAGCAGGAATGATGAGTGGGTGTCATCACATCCAGCTTTTTCTGATGAATGGCATCTTACAGATTTTTCTGCCTAGGACTGACTTAGAACTCTGATTCTCCCCATGGCAGCCTCTTATGTAGCTGTGATGTCAGACATGCACTGCTGTATCCAACTGTTGATTGGGATGGGCTCTAATGTGGATGGGTTGGCTCAAACAGTGATTCTCCCAATCCTATAAGTAGCTAGGATTAGAGGCATGAGCCACCAGTGCCTGACTGATCAAAGGTTTTTGTTTTGGTGGTAAATACTTCTTGTCTGTTGTCACTTCAGTGCTTTCTGCCTGTCTGGGCAACCCTTGCCTTCCTGTCCTGTTTTCCCTCCTTCACAGCTGTGTTACTGCTGATCTTCTTCCCACCCCCATGCAGGATCCTCTGCCTGGGTTGTGCTGAATCTATAGGTGAGACTGAGGAAGAGGAGAACATCTGTTTGGATTTTTTAAAGATTTCTCTTAACACTGTTTTTGGTTTGTTGACCACCATAGGACTTGAACTTAGGGTCTGGGCGCTGTTCCTGAGCTCTTTTTGCTCAAGGCTAGCACTCCACCACTTTGAGCTACGGCTCCAGTTCTGGCTTTTGGGTGGTTAATTGGAGATAAGAGTCTCATAGACTTTCCTGCCCAGGCTGACTTTGAATTGTGATTCTCATCTGCCTCCTGAGTAGCTAGGTGTGAGCAACTAGTACCTGGCTCTTAACACTGTTTTATAGATTTCAGTATGCAGGTCTTGTTCTTTTCTTAAATTATTTTTAACTGTTTTAGTTTCTTTGATGATGTTTGAATGAAAAATTTAAATTTTAGTTTTGAGTTGCTCATTTCTAGCAAAGTTTTATACAGTGATCTCTTCTTTTGTGACCTTATAAACTCATCTGACAGTGTTGGTGGTTCTTGTAGACACTTTGGGATTTCCTACATTCATCATTATTCTGCTTCTAATAATAGTTCTCACTTTCAGGTCTTTTTTTTTTTTTTTTGGTCAGTTGTGAGGCCTGAACTCTGGGCCTGGGCGCTGTCCCTCAGCTCTTCAGCTCAAGGCTAGCACTCTATCACTTGAGCCACAGCACCACTTCTGGCTTTTTTTGTTGCTTATGTGGTGCTGAGGAATCAAACCCAGGGACTACTGCATACAAGGCAAGCACTCTCCCATGGAGCTGCCTTGTCTCCTATAAATTCAGTTGCTTTGGTTCTCTGTGCATGACCCATCTTTTTTCTGTCCTTTTACTTGCAACCTATTGTATTCTGAAGGTGTTTAACTTGGTCCTCCTTATCCTTCCTGTCTTCTTCTGTTAAGAGACAATTTGTAGTGCATCTGGTTGTGTACCTGTGTTGCTGGTTGTGCAGTGTGGAGTATATCCTGATGCGTTCATGTGGTTGGTTCTGTCCCTGAGGCTCTGCTCAGTGCCCTTTCTGCTTTCCCTTTCAATTCTTCAGATTGGATAATTACTATAGATCTGTCCTTAAGTTTAATGACTTTTAAAAATTAGAACTGGGGCTGGGAAGGTGGCTCAGTGTAGAGCGCTTGCCTTGCATGCTCGAGGTCCTGGGTTCAATTCCTCAGCACCACATAAGAAAAAAGCCGGAAGTGGCGCTGTGGCTCAAGTGGTAGAGCGCTAGCCTTGGCTCAAGTAGTAGAGCGCTAGCCTTGAGCTGAAGAGCTGAGGGACAGCGCCCAGGCCCAGAGTTCAGGCCCCACGACCGGACTCAAAAAAAAAAAATTAGACCAACTGGGAATTTTCTGCTTCAGTTATACTTTTTATTATAGAATTTCTTCCCTCCCTCCCCCTCTATCTTCCTTCCTTCCCTCCTTCCTTCCTTCCTTCCTTCCTTCCTTCCTTTCTCTCTCTCTCTCTCTCTCTCCTTCTCCCTCTCTCTCTCTGTTTCTCTCTTTCTTTCTTTCTTTCTTTCCTTCTTTCTTTCTGTTGTAGGACTTAAACTCTGGGCCTGGGCACTGTCCCTCAGCTCTTCAGCTCAAGGCAAGCGCTCTACCGCTTGAGCCACAGCGCCACTTCTGGTTTTTTTCTTTTTGCTTATGTGGTGCTGAGGAATTGAACCCAGGGACTCAGGCATGCAAGGCAAGCACTGTACCACTGAGCCACCTTCCCAGCCCTTCTTAATTTCTGTTGACACTTGTTACAATTATGTAATATGTTTTAACACTTCCCAGGCATTTTTGTAGTCATTTTTGTTGATTATTTAATGTGCTGTAAATTGAATATTCTCTGATCAAAACTACAAACATTTTGACCTGTTGAGGATTTGTCTGATTTTGAGGGTAATGTATAGGATTTAAATCAGAGTACTATTTTTTTTTTTTTGGGTCTGGTCCTGGGGCCTGAACTCTGGGCCTGGGCGCTGTCCCTCAGCTCTTCAGCTCAAGGCTAGCACTCTACCACTTGAGCCAGTGCCACTTCTGGCTTTTTTCTTTTTGCTTATGTGGTGCTGGGGAATCGAACCCAGGGCCTCAGGCATGCAAGGCAAGCACTCTACCACTGAGCCACCTTCCCAGCCCCAGAGTACTATTTTTTAATAATGTTTAATAAAAGTAAGTTATTTTTCTCAATTGCAGCCTGTTCTGTCAGTTGAAGCCTAGAGAGAAGATTGTTCCCAAGTGGCATGAAAAGCCCTACGAGTGGAATCAGGTGAGTGGGAGGCGGCTCTGTGTGGGTGAGGAGAAGGTCACTGGGTGGACCTCAGTTCAGAACCAGGGCCCCCTCGGCGGTGACAACACAGCGTCAAGGCTGTGTGGGCAGCACAGGTGGTGAGTGCTTCTGCTCTGCCTCCCCATGGCTGCCTGGAAAAGTACATTTAGAAAAGACAAGTGTGAGTGGCACCAAAACCCTGCCGCGCCTGGCACTGTTGAAAGCTGCTTTGCCCCTCCTCTACCAGGGCTGCGTGGGGGCTTTAGATGGCTCGTCAGCGCTCTGCGTCCATACACTGCTGGCTGAGGAATAGCAGCTCTGGAGGCTGAGATCAGAGTCCAGCAGAGACGGCTCTGGGAGCCATTGCCGACAGCCGCCTTCTGGCTGCACCGTCATGTGACAGGGCCAGAGTGTCCGTGAGATCTCTGGTGTCTGGGAATGTTCACCCCATGATGGGACTGTTCTAGGGGTCCCTACTCTCAGAACTCATCACCTTCCAGAGGCCCCCTGTCTCCTGATACCGTCACACTGAGGGTCTCTGTGTCAGTATAGGAATCTGAGCGTAGCAGTGTTGACAAAAGGTAGAGCTGGCTTTGTCCTTTCCCAATTTCCTCAGTGAGGCCTAAAAAATGGAATCAGAAGGAGTTCTGCAGAAGGAGTGGAGGCAGGAGTCTTAAGCTTTAATTCTAGAGCCAGAGGTGTCTTCGTAAGCCAGCTAGGGCAAGGGTTCCCACCTCTGAGGTGTTTAGGTTCCACTGTGTCCTCTGGACGTCCCGTCCGGGGTCTCCTGTGCGGAGATGGTGCAGAACAGGGTCGTTCCTGAAGTTGACTTCTAACAGTGGAAAGTGCTTTGAAAGCAGAACTCATTTGCAATTGGTATGTTTAGGGAACTTTGTATCTTAAATAAATTGGAAATAAGTTTTTAAAAAAACACTGAGGGCTGGTGGAGTGGCTCAAGTGGTGGAGCACCTGCAAGTCTAAGGCCTGAGTTCAAACTCCAGTATCATGGAAAAATTGAGTTACTAGTTCCTGTTCCTATTTACTAGGCAGTGCAGGAGATTTCTCAGTAAGGCTTTCCTTATTAAACATGGTTTAAAAATGAATGGTCAGATCCATAGTATGAGAACCGACATGCAGTGTTGAAAAGCAGGCTCTTTTTTTGTCATACATCCATATGTGTATAATTGTGTTTATTTTATGCTAGTCAGGCCCCACCACAGAACCTGACCGGTCCTTCTGTCTGCCCATTAGGTTGATCCGAAGCTGGTCATGGAGCAGGCTGACCGGGAAGGCAGCCGAGGGAAGAATACTTTTCTCTACCAGCTTCACAAGCTTCTGGTGCTCAGTCCCTAAACGTGGGCAGCTTGCACCCAGCCACAGCGGGAAGCCGTGGGCTCTTTAAATGCTTCCCGAGCCAGGCCTGCCGAAGCCCAAGTCTTCTCCATCCTACCGCCTCTGCTGGGGTGGAGATTGGATGGGAAGATTGGACAGTACAGTCTTTTCTAGAAGGCTTTTGGAAAAAGTTGTTAGAAAAGAAGACTTCGTTTTGGCAAATGCTGCATTGTGCTTTAAGTGTGACAGTGAAGAAGTAGCCAGGCTTACACGCATGGTTCCGGCGTGTGCGCACAAGTCTCTCCTGTCACCCACAGGGCTGCCCCTGGGGTGGAGCAGAGCTTGGCACGGGGGCGTGTGCACGTGTGTGTGTACGTGTGTGTGTGCACATGTGCGTGTGCGCATGTGTGGTTTCTTAAAACCATGGGGCATTTTCTAATCTTTGTTTTTCATGAGGAAAAATTTGGGCAGAATTTAATTTTTGTACATGTAGGACTTTTTGTTATGTTACAGCTTGTTGTTTATGTTTTGGAAATAAAAAAGATGACCTGGCAACTTGCATATGTATGAAACCAGTAAAACTGTTAGATGTTTCTGGTAGTTTGGGTCAGACAGTACTGTATGTTTTGTTCTAAAAAGATCTGAGTTTATAAAACCTGGGAAGGGATAAAGCCTTCTTTTAAGAAGTCAGCTCTTGAAAGGAGCAAAGTAGTAGATTTCAGACACCCAGCACTCACCAGCTTCTCCTTGAGGTTTAATCAAAACAATTGGAGACAGCTGCTACACACCTATAGCCCTAGCAGGGGGGTCAAAACTTCACGGCTCACCTGGGCTACCTAGTTGACCCTAACAGAAAAAATTGTAGATGATAGGTGATGGGGAAAAGTTCGTTTATGAGTAGGTAGTACATGAAACACACAGAGACTGGATGGTGGGCGGGGTAAGGCAGCCCAGCACGCATGGTGCTGCCAAGGCCGGGAGTAAGGAGAGCGAAAGGCGAGGAGGCTGCGCAAGAACAGAGGACAGCCCTGCGCAGATGCAGTCTGGACAGAGCGTCTGGGATCTCATAGCACGCCAGCCTTGCGGAAGTTCCCCTGGCACATGCTATTTTCTGACCTTGCTGCTCTGAATATCAAAAGCCCGCGCCTTTCCTGTGCCCAGGGAGCCTGCAGCGACTCATTTACCCTAAGAGTCAGTTTGATATTGACAGCCTCCAAAACAAAGCCTCTGAGAGCGGTGGGCCAGAGACGACACTCGTGTGTGCGTGGGGAGGAGGGGGGACGGGCGCAGATTTAAAAGTTCCTCAAAGCAAGTGACAGTGGAATACAATATGCCAGAATGTGAGATATAGCAAGAGGAGTGCTGTGATGGAAGTTTATAGCTATGTGAGCCCACGTTAGAAAATGGGAAACAAATAATCTAATGATGTAGCTTAAGGTTTCTTTGTTTTTTGTCGGTTGTGGGCTTGAACTCTGGGCCTGGGTGCTGTCCCTCAGCTCTTCAGCTCAGGGCTAGCGCTCTACTACTGGAGCCACAGAGCCACTTCCGGTTTTCTGGTGGTTAGTTGGAGATGAGTCTCACGGATTTTCCTGCCTGGGCTGGCTTTGAACTGTGATCCTCAGATCTCAGCCTCGTGAGTAGCTAGGATTACAGGCGTGAACCAACGGTGCCTGGCTTGTTTTGTTTTTAAAGAATAATCCAGGAAGTGGCGCTGTGGCTCAAGCAGTGGAGCGCTCTCCAAGCTGCAGAGCTGAGAGACAGCACCCAAGCCCAGAGTTCAAGCCCCACGACCGACAAAAAAAAAAAAGGATAAGCCAAACCCATAATCAGAAGGAAGAAAAAGAGATTATCAATATCAAGAATCAATAACACAAAGAATTGTTTCTTTGAAAAGTGAAAGAACTTTGACAAATCTTTAGCCAGAGAGAGAGAGAATAAATTAGAGGTTGAGAAAGGATATCAGCCAGGCGCTGGTGGCTCACACCTGTAATCCTAGCCACTGAGATCTGAGGATCATGGCTCAAAGCTAACCCAAGAAGGAAAGTCTGTGAGACTTGTATCTTCACTTAACCACCAGGAAACCAGAAGTGGCGCTGTGGCTCAAGTGGTAGAGCCCTCGCCTTAATCTGAAAAGCTCAGGGACAGCGCCCAGGGCCAGAGTTCAAGCCCCACAACTGACCAAAAAAAAAAAAAAAAAAAGGATATCAAATGGGTTTTGGTAAAATAAATGACAGTAAATAATTTGTGTTTTCAGTTTGATCTTCTCACTTTGAAGTCATATAGCATAAGTACAGGAGCCATTATATAAGACACTGTAGTCAGAGTAAGTGATTGATTGATCAAATGGTCAATACAGAAAAATAGCAATTAAAGCTGGGTGCTGGTGGCTCACGCCTGTAATCCTAGCTACTCAAGAGGCTGAGATCTGAGGATCGAGGTTCAAAGCCAGCCTGGTCAGGAAAGTCCATGAGACTCCAATAAACCACCAGAAAACTGGAAGTGGCGCTGTAGCTGAAGTGGTAAGAGCACTAGCCTTGAGCTGAGGGACAGCGCCCAGGCCCAGAGGTCAAGCCCCACTACTGACCAAAAAAAAGAAAAGAAAAATAGCGATTAGAATCTCAGAAATGTAGCTCAAAGATAGATAGATATCTATCTATCTATCTATATGAGAACAGTGCATCTTTGTGCCTACATTCAGTCTCTTTTGAGTATGTACACTGGTTGGTAGTAAATCTATTTAAATAGTAAATAAATCCAACCAGTCAGTAAATGATAAAGCTCTAACATGACTCCTCGGTAGGGGACTGTGCACGTCTGGTGCCTGTGCGGGGTTAACGTGAATATTGGGACTAAAGGAGGGTGTGTGATGGGACAGTGGCACGCAGTGCAGGAGCAGGGGGAGGTTCTCGGTGTGAGTACTGATAGCACATTGAAGGGAAAGAAAGTGACTCAGAGCCACTGCAATGTAGATGGCCACAGGCGGGGGGTTAAAGGTTACACGCCAAGAGGATATAAAACTCTAAACAGACTTACAATGAGCATTGAAACAAATCAGTAATAAAGTCCCCCAGCCCAAAGAACAGGAAAAAAAACAAAAACTGAAGTCTTCCAACAAAGAAAAGCGTAGAATCAGACTGATCACTGGGAAAAGTAATCAGGTTTGACAACAATACTCCTCTCCCTCTTCTATGAATACGAAGGTAAGGAACGCTTCCTAACACAGTCTGTGACACTTCAGTTACTGTGGAAACAATACCAGACAAGGACACAACAACCACACACGAAGGCCAAGATCCTTGTTGTGATAAAAAAAATCCTTAATCAGGGCTGGGAAGGTGGCTCAGTGGTAGAGAGCTTGTCTTGCGTGCATGAGGCCCTGGGTTAAACTCCTTAGCACTACATAAAAAGAAAAAGCCAGAAGTGGAGCTGTGGCTCAAGTGGGAGAGCACTAGCCTTGAGCAAAAGCAGCTCAGGGACAGCGCCCAGGTCCTAAGTTCAGTCCCCAGGACCGGCAAAATAATAATAACAATAATAATAATTCTCAATGCTTGCAAGTTAAATTCAGCAACATATTAACAAGATGATACACTATAATCACATTGGTTCTGCTACAGGGAAACAAGGATGGTATAGAAAAAAAGCCTCTGATAAAACTCAGCATTCCTTCATGATAAAAGCCTAGAGTAAAAATTAGACATTGAAAGATCACATCACAACATAATGAAGGCTATAGTTAGCGACTCACAGCCAGCATCATGCTGAGTGGGGGGGGGGTTAATAAAACATCTCTAAAAGGCTGAGATGAGAGCCTCGCCTTGCAACCTTGCTCAGTAGAGTCCTGAAGTGCTAGCCGGAGAAAGGAGTAGGTAGAAATCGGGCCAGAGGAGGCGATGTCACTCCTGTCTTCACATGGTGAGTCTGTCTTGAAGATCCTGAAGACTCCTCCAAAGACAGGACCAGTAAACTCAGCAGAGTAGGACACAATGTCAGCATACAAAAATTGGTAGCTTCTTGGGTTTTGGTTACAACTTTATTAAAACACACTACGTCTGTGCCTTATTCTTTTATTTATTTATTTTTGGTTGGTCGTGGGGCTTAAACTCTGGGCTTGAGCATTATCCCTGAGCTCTTCACCTCAAGGCTAGCGCTGTACCACTTGAGCCACAGCGCCACTTCCAGTTTTCTGATGGTTTATTGGAGATCAGAGTCTCATGCACTTTCCTGCCCTGGCTGGCTTTGAACCACGATCCTCAGGTGTCATCCTCCTGAGTAGCTAGGACTACAGGCGTGAGCCACTGGCGCCTGGCTGTGCCTTATTCTTTAGTCCTAAAAAGTCACACTGCATATCTTAGCTATGGTAAATAAGGCTGCAATAAACATAGTTGTGCTGGTAGCTTTAGTGTGGTCTTGTTTGTAAACATTTGGGTAAATGCCCAAGAGTGGGATTGCTGGGTCATAGGGGAGTTCTATGTGAAGTCTTTTGAGGAACCTCCATACAACAATTCTTGGTAAGAAATGTACGCATTATCCCGCCCATGTAATTGTAACCCCTCTGTACAGTATGTTCACAAATAAAATTAAATTAAAAAAAAAGTCATACTGCAGACCCTGAGGTGGTAGGAGCCAGCAACGGCCATTGACTTCAACCCTCTGGGCTGCACATACTTGCCCTTTTATTTGAGGAAGTATTTTTCTCTGCTTTGGGCCTGGGGGCTTATCTGAGGGAGTTTGGTAGACAAAGACAAAGACTGAAATAGAATGAGGGAGGATGCATACTGTCTGCACTCGTTGGCACAGTGGGTCCTGGAACAATGTGATGCAAGTATTTGACAAATACAGAAAGTCTATGTAGCTGAGGCTTTTGCAGGAATAAACAGTTGTGCCTTCAGCCTTCTTCTCTGTCTCCTTCATCTGTCCCCTGCCCCCTTGGGAGCCCCTGTTTGTGCTATGGCTGGACCGCGGCATCACACATAGACTTAATAAAACAAACTTTGCAGAAAACCGTCTACAAAACCAATATG